AATAAAGTGCTAAAATATTTACTCAAGCTCACTAATAAGCTAAACGGTAAATAAAATTAATTGCTATACGCTAACATATATACGCTAAGGTAATACATAATTAGGGATTAACGCGAGATAAACAATTAGTTTATCTAGTCATCTTAATCCTGATATTAGGAGGGGTCAAGGCTGATTGTTTTAGACTGGTTGGTTGTCTTAGACTGGTTGGTTGTCTCAATAAGGGATGTCAGGTTGTCTTAGACTGGTTGGTTGTCTCAATAAGGGATGTCAGGTTGCCTTAGACTGGTTGTGTCCCAATAAGGGATGTCAGGTTGCCTTAGACTGGTTGGTTGTCTCAATAAGGGATGTCAGGTTGCCTTAGACTGGTTGTGTCCCAATAAGGGATGTCAGGTTGCCTTAGACTGGTTGGTTGTCTCAATAAGGGATGTCAGGTTGCCTTAGACTGGTTGGTTGTCTTAGACTGGTTGGTTGTCTTAGACTGGTTGGTTGTCTTAGACTGGTTGGTTGTCTCAATAAGGGATGTCAGGTTGCCTTAGACTGGTTGGTTGTCTCAATAAGGGATGTCAGGTTGCCTTAGACTGGTTGGTTGTCTCAATAAGGGATGTCAGGTTGTCTTAGACTGGTTGGTTGTCTCAATAAGGGATGTCAGGTTGCCTTAGACTGGTTGGTTGTCTCAATAAGGGATGTCAGGTTGCCTTAGACTGGTTGGTTGTCTCAATAAGGGATGTCAGGTTGTCTTAGACTGGTTGGTTGTCTCAATAAGGGATGTCAGGTTGCCTTAGACTGGTTGGTTGTCTCAATAAGGGATGTCAGGTTGCCTTAGACTGGTTGGTTGTCTCAATAAGGGATGTCAGGTTGCCTTAGACTGGTTGGTTGTCTCAATAAGGGATGTCAGGTTGTCTTAGACTGGTTGGTTGTCTCAATAAGGGATGTCAGGTTGCCTTAGACTGGTTGGTTGTCTCAATAAGGGATGTCAGGTTGTCTTAGACTGGTTGGTTGTCTCAATAAGGGATGTCAGGTTGTCTTAGACTGGTTGGTTGTCTCAATAAGGGATGTCAGGTTGCCTTAGACTGGTTGGTTGTCTCAATAAGGGATGTCAGGTTGCCTTAGACTGGTTGGTTGTCTCAATAAGGGATGTCAGGTTGCCTTAGACTGGTTGGTTGTTTCAATAAGGGATGTCAGGTTCCTTAGACTGGTTGGTTGTCTCAATAAGGGATGTCAGGTTGTCTTAGACTGGTTGGTTGTCTCAATAAGGGATGTCAGGTTGCCTTAGACTGGTTGGTTGTCTCAATAAGGGATGTCAGGTTGTCTTAGACTGGTTGGTTGTCTCAATAAGGGATGTCAGGTTGTCTTAGACTGGTTGGTTGTCTCAATAAGGGATGTCAGGTTGTCTTAGACTGGTTGGTTGTCTCAATGAGGGATGTCAGGTTGGCTGGTTGTCTCGGGTTGGCACCAAACGTTTTCTGTAGCCCAGTGCCAGCTTATCCGACCTCGTCAGATTACGTCACAGATTTATCTGCTGACCATGAGTAAGTGACGTCACAGGTCTATCTGCTGACCAGGAGTAAGTGGCGTCACTATGTCAACAACTTGACCACTCCACTCCCTGTAGCCCGAGGTAATGGCCCGAGGGTGTAGCTTTGGCTACCAGAGCAGGAGGAGGGTCTATTAGCGAGTTAATTAGTCTACCTTAATGGCATCATCCAATGCTTTCCATGTAAACATTGGCGAGGCACTGACTGTTGTATTTAACTAACATATATGGAATATGGCAGCTTTAATGCTAACACGAATTTAACATGTTAATTTTTTAATGGCGTGTTTGTACTCTGACTGTATCTCAAAACTATCCCATATTTAAATCAATTCTGGGTGATATTTATACTTCAGTGAAGGTACAGAAAAGGCAACATTTTAAAAATATATTGTTTTTAAATTTATGGCCTGCCTAATTGTTGGTAAATAAGTTATTTGATTAAAATTACCATGTAAAAAGAAAAGTTTCGAAATATTTTTTAAAATGATGTAGGCCTATATAGTTTGAAATTGTGACCAGATTAGAAAGTAAAAAAAAAAACATAACAGTGAAGGGGGTGTTTGTAAAAGCTGTTTTCTCTCATTTCTAAACATGTCTTACAATACAGCCAGAGGATAGCAACTCTTGAACTTGTGATGGGGTTTTACTAGTCGCTAGACTTACATGACTAATTATGTTTTAGCCACGGTTGACTGCGTGTCATACGGGTGGATCAGGAAGTCACGCCTTGATTAGGATTGGGTAATTATCTTATTAAAATAGAAGTGCAACCGTTTGGGTGTATTTTTATTTCAAACTTTTGATAGAACTAACTTAAGTATTTTTTCTCACACTGATGTGTAGTTGGTATTAGGCCTGTCTAGTCCAGGTATCACCCCCCCCCACTATTTTTTTTGTTACACCCCCTCCCCCGGTATAATCTTTGAAGTGTACACATTTAATACTTAAGATGTTTATCTATAGTAGATTGTAAATACAGCAAGGTGAAGCATTGTTTTTTCTATAAGCTGCATCTTGACGTCATGGTGTCACCATCCTCCCCTCCCTTGTAGGGATCATCATTATGAGCTTAAAAATCTTTTTAACTCCAATTAACAAAAAAAACGTACTTATTGTATATATCTTGCAATTTTTCGTCTTGGTGTCAACCCCCCCCCCCCCCCCGCCTTTAAATGGTCACCCCCGCCTCGCGACGCCTCTGCCCAGGGGCGTCTTACCCAGGGCCGTCGCGTTCTAGAGCAGAACTACATCTGGGCAATATCGCCCGGGGGGGGGGGGGGGGGTTGGGGGTGTGGGGTCTCACCCAGGGGCATCATATCCAGGGGCGTCTTACACAATTACAAGGCGGCAATTACTCAGGAGCTTGCAAAGATCCAGTTCATCTACTACAACTAGGAAGTACTTTTAAAAAATATAGCAGCCTTATAGTTTACTGTGTGTGATTTAGGCTCACCAAATCTCATATATTCCCTGTGTATATCAGTTCAACAAACTACATGCTGGTTGGTATTGATGGAAGAGTTGACACATTTGTTAATGAATCAATGGATATAGATCCCGTTAGTGTCTGATGCAGGGAGGGGGGGGGGGGCTGTATACCACTTCACCAGGGGACTGTGTACCCGTAACGACAAAAACTGTTGCGTACTTAGAGAGTTTATGTTACACACTTGTATTTTGAAATGGAGTTTTTAGACTCAATTTTAGCTTATATTTAGCGTATAGGTATGCGTAACTAAAACAATTTGGTATCGATTTTAATAAGTTCATATACTTTTTCAGAACTGCAATGTTTTTAAACTTAAAAAAACCGGGAGTGATCTCCCCTAAACTTTCTCGAATATTCTTATATAAAACAGCAGGGGATGGGAACTCGGGCTATAGACATGATTTTTTATCCATTTTAAATACTTAAAGTTTTAAAAATAGAATAAAATCTCGAAGACAAAAGAATTGCACACCAAGTGAACGACAAATAAAAAAAGTGCATACTAGTACTAGTACGCAATATTATTAGTACTTTAAAAATTTTCATTAGTTTTTTGAGAAATCGGAAGTAGCGTAAATTACTACTTCCGGTCAACGGAAATTACTCAAAATTTAACAGAAGGTAGAAAATTAGATCTTTTACTCACATGTGAAACTTCATTTATCTATCTGAAATAGTACTCAAGTTATAGGCTTTTGAAAAATTCAAAGTAGAAAAAGTACCACTTCCGGTTATCGGAAATCGCTCAAAAGTTGATACGGATCTACGATTTTGATAAAATACTCATATATTAAATTTCATCAACCTAGCTGTAACGGTACTCAAGTAATCGTGTTCACACACAGACACACACACAGACATACGGACAGAATTGCAAAGCCCAGTTTTTCAGACTGGATTACGCATAAAAACTTTTAATTTTGATAAATCTGGATTGATAATTTTTGCCCGATTAAAATAAGTCCTCTATACTTAGGATGTGAAGAAGGACTGAGGTGTAATACGGTGAAAATTGTTAAAATTTCAAGTGATTTTTGTGCACGATTACAATACTTTCTCTATACTTCGTATATACGAGAAAGTAAAAACAATGCTGAAAAACATTATAAGTTTTATTATTGGATATTACAGTTGTATGGATATCAATGTACTAATATCTGCGTACTTTTATACTGTACATTTCTATTTAGTTACTTCACCTCCCTTAGCTTACTTAACTTCTCCCCTAGATTACTCAACATCTTAGACATCTAGACATTTGTCACTGGTATAACTGAAATGTTGTAAACATTGAAGCCGCGTCGTTCATCTAGCACTTAATGGTGTTATCCCCCAGAGGCGTAGCGACCCTTCCCGGCGCCCGGGGACAAACTTTCAATTTTCAATTTGTACCACCTCCCTCAAACTTTCGATTTGCACCCCCACCCTCCACCCTTGTCGGGATTTGTCAAATTTTGCTCTTAAAAGACTTTTTAACACTCGAATTAATCACTTAATTAAATGGAATTATAATTTTTTCTCTATATATTGTACTATTTTTTGCCTTGATGTCACCCCCTTCTAAATGGTGTCACCAGGTGCGGTCCGCATCCCCCGCCCCCCCCCCCCCTTCATCGCTACGCCACTGGATGTATCATTTAGACATTGCATCAAATACCAATCTAGTTCCACAATTTCCGCAACTAACTCCTTTATCTATTAGCCTCTGGAACAAGTAGGAGTCAAGCAACTGCACAGTTAGCAACGAACACAATTATATTTTTAGCATCATAATATTAGTATAGGACGGAGCCACAGACCTAAACACGCACATTTAAGTTTCCACCCCCACCTATTGATTACGTAACTCCTTTCTTTTATTTATTTTTATTCTTTTATTTTAAAATCTCATGTTTTAAAATCCCCCCCCCCAGTCTAGCACCGGAGAGATTCAGGTTCCCCATGCAGCCCCACTTCCAGTTCGGGCCAGCGATGATGTTCCCTGGCGTCCACCCCCAGGCCATCCACCCCCACCACCTGCCGCCCCTCAGCCACCCGCCCCCCGCCACTTGCCCCCTGCCTCGCATGGCCACCCCGGCACCGCTGACCCCTGCTACGTCACACGGCCTGACCTTCACCCAGGAGGAGCTTGACATGGTCCTGTACGGCTACACCAAGGGCCGGACGACGGACAAGTACCACGGCCACGCCCTCTCCGGACTTCGCTTCGGCAATGTCAGTCACAGTAAGAATTTTTTCGTCAGTCACAGTGAGAATTTGTTTTTGTCAGTCAGAGTAAAAAAAATTGTCAGTCACAGTAAGAATTTGTTTTTATCAGTCACAGTAAGAATTTTTTTTTGTCAGTCACAGTAAGAATTTTGTGTCAGTCACAGTAAGAATTTTTTTGTCAGTCACAGTAAGAATTTGTTTTTGTCAGTCATAGTAAAAAAAATTGTCAGTCACAGTAAGAATTTTTTTTTGTCAGTCACAGTAAGAATTTGTTTTTGTCAGTCACAGTAAGAATTTGTTTTTGTCAGTCAGAGTAAGATTTTTTTGTCAGTCAGAGTAAGAATTTGTTTTTGTCAGTCAGAGTAAAAACAATTGTCAGTCACAGTAAGAATTTGTTTTTGTCAGTCACAGTAAGAATTTGTTTTTGTCAGTCAGAGTAAGAATTTGTTTTTGTCAGTCAGAGTAAGAATTTGTTTTTGTCACAGTAAGATTTTTTTTGTCAGTCAAAGTAAGAATTTGTTTTTGTCAGTCAGAGTGAAAAAAATTGTCAGTCACAGTAAGAATTTGTTTTTGTCAGTCACAGTAAGTATTTGTTTTTGTCATTCACAGTAAGAATTTTTTTGTCAGTCACAGTAAGAATTTGTTTTTGTCAGTCACAGTAAGAATTTGTTTTTGTCAGTCAGAGTAAAAAAAAATTTGTTAGTAAGAATTTTTCGTCATATAAAAAATTATTTTCGGTACAATAAGAAATGTGTATTAGCTACAGTAATCCAGACTTACGTAATTGTGTCCACGATTCTCCCCCCCCCCCCCCAATTCCCATTCTTACACTTCAGTTCTAGAGCATTGCCAGCTGTAAGAAGACATTATGTCCTTAGAGCACCGTGTCCCCAGCTGTAGACCCGTCCTTAGAGTACCGTGTCCCCAGCTGTAGACCCGTCCTTAGAGCACCATGTCCCCAGCTGTAGACCCGTCCTTAGAGTACCGTGTCCCCAGCTGTAGACCCGTCCTTAGAGCACCGTGTCCCCAGCTGTAGACCCGTCCTTAGAGCACCGTGTCCCCAGCTGTAGACCCGTCCTTAGAGCACCGTGTCCCCAGCTGTAGACCCGTCCTTAGAGCACCGTGTCCCCAGCTGTAGACCCGTCCTTAGAGCACCGTGTCCCCAGCTGTAGACCCGTCCTTAGAGCACCGTGTCCCCAGCTGTAGACCCGTCCTTAGAGCACCGTGTCCCCAGCTGTAGACCCGTCCTTAGAGCACCGTGTCCCCAGCTGTAGACCCGTCCTTAGAGCACCGTGTCCCCAGCTGTAGACCCGTCCTTAGAGCACCGTGTCCCCAGCTGTAGACCCGTCCTCAGAGCACCGTGTCCCCAGCTGTAGACCCGTCCTTAGAGCACCGTGTCCCCAGCTGTAGACCCGTCCTTAGAGCACCGTGTCCCCAGCTGTAGACCCGTCCTTAGAGCACCGTGACCCCAGCTGTAGACCCGTCCTCAGAGCACCGTGTCCCCAGCTGTAGACCCGTCCTTAGAGCACCGTGTCCCCAGCTGTAGACCCGTCCTTAGAGCACCGTGTCCCCAGCTGTAGACCCGTCCTTAGAGCACCGTGTCCCCAGCTGTAGACCCGTCCTCAGAGCACCGTGTCCCCAGCTGTAGACCCGTCCTCAGAGCACCCAGCTGCGATACCATTCAATGTACCCAGCGGTCCACACATTACTCCAGTCTAAAATCCAGTCTGAAATTATTATACTCTAAAAAATATTTCAGTTTAAATTGTAAATTCTTAAAAGGTTAAATAATCATTTAGCAAGGTCAAACAATTATTTAGCAAGGTGAAACAACCATTTAGCGAAGTCAAAAACACTACCAGCAAGAAGTCAGATTAGGAAAGTTGACATGCAAGCTTCGGTCAACTTTCTGCTGCAGTCAGCTATCGTGTTCCCCGTTCCCTTAGTCAACAGTGCATGCCAAGCATCCATGTCAACTTTCTTTCAGTCAACTTGACTGCAGAGAGTTGACTGCATAGAGTTGACTGAAGTAGAAACTTGAGTGAAGCATAGAGTTGACTGAAGGAGAGAGTTCACTGCAGAAAGTTGACTGAAGCATAGAGTTGACTGAAGCATAGAGTTGACTGAAGGAGATAGTTGACTGCAGAAAGTTGACTGAAGCATAGAGTTGACTGAAGCATAGAGTTGACTGAAGGAGAGAGTTGACTGCAGAAAGTTGATTGAAGCATAGAGTTGACTGAAGCAGAGAGTTGACTGAAGGAGAGAGTTGACTGAAGCAGAGAGTTGACTGAAGCAGAGAGTTGACTGAAGCATAGAGTTGACTGAATTCGACACAACGTAGCCTGTCTGACACTATGAAACCTGACTGAAGTCATCAGCTCGACGTCTGACTTAAGTCATCCGCTCGACGTCTGACTGAAGTCATCCGCTCGACGTGTGACTTAAGTCATCATCAGACCCCAGCACGCCTGCGTTACTCACGATTCAAATCAGAGATTCCCCATCACGACCCGGGCGCGGGGCGTCCTACTCAGCCCGGGGGTAAAGCAAATACTTGTCCCCACTCTACGGCTGGCACAAATCTACGACCCTGCTCACGCGGGCTAGACCCCTCCCCCCCATCCAAAGTCTAGCACCCCCACCCACGGGTTAGCATACATCACCCCTCATATTTCGGTTTATGTCCAACATCTTACCGTTGTTATTTTTAAGGCGAAGGTCAAAATGTTAAGACGCGCGTCCATTGGTATGGAAATGAAACGTATCGATATTTAAAATCAATCAAGCTGACAAACCAAATAGCCAATGTTTTGTATTCATCGTTTCTGCGCATGCTGTAAAGCCTGGAACAGCACGTGACTCTGGTCACATGACCTCAACCGCTCGAGCAGATTATCCGGGTCAATGCCTTTGTCGGCGACTCGAGCGCTCAAGATGGTGGAATTAATCAACGCCTCGCTTTAATCGGATTGGTCAATGCGTGGTCGACGCGGCTCGTGCGTGGACTGATGACGTGGCAGCATGTCTGACGTCAACACGAGTCTCCACATCAAGCTCACTCAACCTCTTCTCCAATATTAAAGCACTGTTTAGATAGAACAACCTCATTGGAGAACACACTGCGACTTTTAAAGCTACCAATGGAGAAATGTAACACATGTTTTATAATAGACTTGAAAAACTGGTTCCAAATGGTCCCAAATTTTTGTTGCAACCAAAATTGTGAAATAAGTACAAAATTACTTCCGGTTTTATTAAGGCTAGAAATAGTCAAACAAATAAATGCTAGTAATATAATAGTAATTTAACAAGTAGGGGCCAACTTTAATTTTTAATTTGGATTAGCAGAGTCAGGGTGTAGTGATGATTGGGGATGTTATATTATTTAATATAAACAAAAGTCTACGATATACACCATAGATCTCTATTGTGTATTTTTATCAAGGAGAATAATTGTTCTGACTTTTATTGTTTTACTTTCCCTGGCCATTATGGTTTACTTCAATGAGAAGTTGTGGGCTGTTTTTGAAAATATTTGAATTGATAAAATAATTCTGAACGGCTTTTCAGCGGCTTATATTCGATACAACAATATATAAATGAGCGTAATCGATGGTTCCCAAACGGCTTTAATTTTTAGAAATGTAAAGTTCACTTTACCCACGTTGCAAACCTTTCGGAAGTCTTTGGTACACGGTGGTACAGGCAGTAAACAGATACACAGATAAAACATCAATTAACTGGGGCATGGCAAAAACTAGATTTCTGCAAAGTACATCTTGCCCATTAAAATATTGATGTAGACTTTTTTGGGTTTAATGAAGTCTTTGTTTAATTATATATATATATGCACATGTGTTGTGTGTCCCCCCCCCCCCAGGTATTGACAAGATCCTGTGTGAGAACCGTTCCTCCCCCGACAGCCACAACACCAGCCTCGGCAGCTGCCACAGCAACAGCAGTGACGTCAGCCACAACAGCAAGCACAACCCGACAGCAAAGAACAGCCTCAGGTCGCCGCACACGGACAGCAAGAGCAGCCACGACAGCCGGACACACGACAGCCGGGCACACGACAGCCGGACACACGGCGTGCCGGCACTGGACGGTGCCACACTGGACCTGCAGGACGGTGAGTCGACTCAGCGGTTGTGGCACCACATCTCTAACCAAATATTCTACTACTACGCCACCCCAACCGTTGGTTACCACCCTCCATACACACATGCATTTTTTGTCACTTCGCCTTTTCAAACCTGTTGTCATTTCGACTCTCTTTGAAACTCTTGACGCCGAAGCCACCACAACTACTACATTTACACGATCATCCGGCATATACCTAATTCTTGGTAAACTTTAGTGTAATTTTCTTTAAATATAACTATGCTCCGCGTAGGTCTTAATATTATGTATAGAAAATATAAATTTACCTCAGTAAAAACGAAATGGCTACCGAGTAGTGACAGTAAACTGACTATAACTACTAGCTGCATACCCGTGCTCCGCCATGGTGAAACTTTAAAAAATGTAACAACTTGGGAACAGAACAAAACCAAACACAAACACAAAAGAAAATACAAACACGAACGCAAACACAAACACAACGCAAGCACAAACACAAACACAACACAAACACAACACCATAACACAGAACAAACAATGCAAACGCTTTATCAAATGGCTTTATAAAAAAAAAACGCCGTGTATTCCAACACAATAATACTCTCACGGACATCCACGCAATTTGCATTCACATTTTTAAAAACTCAAAAAGCAATATTTAGAGTGGGTTGAATTTCTTTTTAAATTACCTCCCCTGGCAAAATAACAAAACATTAAATTAATCAGTTTTTTTTCAACCTTACTATTATTAAAATAAACCATTTTTTTTAGATATATAAGCGAAAATATTCTTTGATATTGATCCGTTTAATATGTTTTAGCAATATGCGTGCATTTAATATTTTCTTCACGTCTTTTGTTGAAGTATGCAAAAGAGTCGATAATCAAAAATTTAAGTTGTTGTATAAATAAACCCCTTTCTCCAATATTTATAATAAGTCATTTCGATGCAAGTAAAATCACGGCATGTGGTTTTTACTTCTATGTTTCTAGAATTAATAGCGATGACTGTCAGACCGACTGACACACTACCTGGCCGCTTATATTATAGTTACACCGGTACTGAACTACTGCCAAAACTGGATAGTATTAATATTTATTTGCAACTGATTACCAATTCTAATATGTTGTGAGGGACCCAACCATTATTCTATTTTTAAACAATAATATATTTTTTGTAGCGCAAAACTAAAAGTTTCTTGTTTTGAAAGTTTTAAATTATTTAAAATTTATTTTTAGTAAAACCAATCGTCAGACAACCTAATAATCGCATCGGGTGTGTGCAACGTAAAGAAAACTTTAATTAGTGGGTTTTTTTTTTAATTAACCAAACTTCTAATTATTTCATAGATTGTACCACATTGCATTGTCTTCGGATCTTGACCTACCTATCAAGTCTAGAATAAAGCAGTTCCGTTTGAGTGTAAAAATTTCGTTCGCCAATTTCAACTTCAGCAAAAATCGTTCAATGATTTTATTTTTATTCATATTAAAACATTTAGACATAAGAACTTAAAGAACACTGAAAATTGTCCATTGTTATAATAGAAAATTGGAATTTATTTAGAAAATATATAGTTTTAACACTGACTGAAGGTTTATAGTAAAACTGTCGACACGACTACAAACAAGGTTGCAAACATTAAAAAACTTCTCTTCTTAAAATTTTAAACTTGTGACATTTGTGGGGTGTGTCGAATCTTGTTACTTAATTTTGACCCACTCCTAATGCTGATTTTTCGAACAATTTCCAGATACATTCGTCTCCAATAACAATGCAAGAAATCTATTTCATTGAAATCTAATGTAAAATGACTAAAACCTATGATAAAAGGGGAGATAGCAAGTTTAAATACTAGCGATAAATTGATTAACTTTTTCACGCCTAAGTGATTTTTTTTTACCTGAGCGTCGAAAAAATTAGGGGCAGATAACTGTCTTTTACAGCCATTAACCGCAAATGTTTTAGTTGTAACCCATGCGGTGTCAACTTCATTTCGAGCAAATGGCTAAAAATTGAAAAGTAAAACAAATATATAAAAACCTTTAAAATAACGTAATCACGTGATCAGCACTCTACCATCTAATCACGTGACCTTCCCCAGACACCATGTCCGTACTATACCATGCAATCACGTGATCTTGTTCACACACCACATCAGACCTCTACCATCTAATCACGTGACCACATCAGACCTCTACCATCTAATCACATGACCATGTCAGACCTCTACCATCTAATCACGTAACCACATCAGACCTCTACCATCTAATCACGTGACCATGTCAGACCTCTACCATCTAATCACATGACCATGTCAGACCTCTACCATCTAATCACGTGACCATGTCAGCACTCTACCATCTAATCACATGACCATGTCAGACCTCTACCATCTAATCACGTAACCACATCAGACCTCTACCATCTAATCACGTGACCATGTCAGCACTCTACCATCTAATCACATGACCATGTCAGACCTCTACCATCTAATCACGTGACCATGTCAGCACTCTACCATCTAATCACATGACCATGTCAGACCTCTACCATCTAATCACGTGACCATGTCAGCACTCTACCATCTAATCACGTGACCATGTCAGACCTCTATCATCTAATCACATGACCACGTCAGACCTCTACAACCTTATCACGTGACCTTCCCCAGGGCTCGCCATCTACCAGACCAGCTTTGCGGGGACCGTCCACATGGGCGTGTTCTGTACCAAGACGGTCATCTCACGCGGGACCAGGTACGGGCCGTTCAAGGGCAAGGTCGTCCACACCAGCGAGACCAAGTCACGTGACGACAACAGCTGCATGTGGGAGGTAGGTCACTCGTGGGAACAGCCCAAACAAATCATGTGGGAGGTAGGCCACTTGTTGGAACGGCCAAAACAACGCTCGATCAGCGCTACACGTGAAACTAAAAAAAATTCAATCAAATCAGTGTTTTGACATGCGTTAGTATTCACATCTACTGAAAGAGAGGGGGTGGTTTATGGGGGTGGCTTCGAAGGAGGTATGCTCGAGACGTGAACTGTATTTGTGTGAGCTGAGCATTGATTGCTAGGTCGCGCCTCAAGTTTGGTGCCTTAGGTCTGTAGCATGAACGTATGGTAGAGCATACGTTCCCATACAAAGTAGATGTTACAAAAATACCTGCACTCTACTTTATCTGCCTTTACAAACGCCAAGGGGTACTTTCTTGTCCATTATTACCTAAGATAATAACCTAATTACCTTCAACGAACTTTTTCTTAATTTAGATCTTTCAAGACGGTAAACTGAGCCATTTTATCGACGGGAGAAGTACGGCTGGCAACTGGATGTCCTACGTGAACTGTGCTAGGTACGCTCAGGAGCAGAATCTCATAGCCATACAGGTGAGTTTTGGTTGGAGCTGTACACAGGTGTTAGCCATACAGGTGAGTTTTGGTTGGAGCTGTACACAGGTGTTAGCCATACAGGTGAGTTTTGGTTGGAGCTGTACACAGGTGTTAGCCATACAGGTGAGTTTTGGTTGGAGCTGTACACAGGTGTTAGCCATACAGGTGAGTTTTGGTTGGAGCTGTACATAGGTGTTAGCCATACAGGTGAGTTTTGGTTGGAGCTGTACACAGGGGAGTTTTGGTTGGAGCTGTACACAGGTGAGTTTTGGTTGGAGCTGTACATAGGTGTTAGCCATACAGGTGAGTTTTGGTTGGAGCTGTACACAGGGGAGTTTTGGTTGGAGCTGTACACAGGTGAGTTTTGGTTGGAGCTGTACATAGGTGTTAGCCATACAGGTGAGTTTTGGTTGGAGCTGTACACAGGTGTTAGCCATACAGGTGAGTTTTGGTTGGAGCTGTACACAGGTGTTAGCCATACAGGTGAGTTTTGGTTGGAGTTGTACACAGGTGTTAGCCATACAGGTGAGCTTTGGTTTGTGTTGTACAAAGGTGTTAGCCATACAGGTGAGTTTTGGTTGGAGCTGTACACAGGTGTTAGCCATACAGGTGGGCTTTGGTTGGAGGTGTTAGCCATACAGGTGAGTTTTGGTTTAAAGCTGTACACAGGTGTTCTTAAGGCAGAGGGTAGAGGGGGTTGTCTGACCCTCCACCCCCCCCCCTCCCACACCCCCAACTCGGCCCTACAGATAAAACAATAACCGATCATTAAAAATTTGGAAGAGTAAAATCCATCAAGCGAATTTGTTGGTTAAAGTTTCAAACCATCAGATTTGTCAGGTCCATGTATGGTTGACTGTGCAGAATAAATCATTAGAACTGTTGGTGAGGGGTTCAGGAAATTCTGCTCTGATTGTTGGTAATGACTGAGTGCTCAGGCGGACTGAGTGGCTCTATAATAATCTAAAAGTAGAGGGCAACTATAATTTAACACTGTAGTTGTGGTTAACTGCACGGCTACCAATAGTTTAACTCTATATTTGTGGATATATTTGTGGTTAACTGGACGGCTACCAATAGTTTAACTCTATATTTGTGGATATATTTGTGGTTAACTGGACGGCTACCAATAGTTTAACTCTATATTTGTGGATATATCTGTGGTTAACTGGACGGCTACCAATAGTTTAATTCTATATTTGTGGATATATTTGTGGTTAACTGGACGGCTACCAATAGTTTAACTCTATATTTGTGGATATATTTGTGGTTAACTGGACGGCTACCAATAATTTAACTCTATATTTAACTAGACGGCTACCAATAAATTAACTCTATATTTAACTGGCCGGCTACCAATAGTTTAACTCTATATTTAACTGGACGGCTACCAATAAATTAACTCTATATTTAACTGGACGGCTACCAATAGATTAACTCTATATTTAAGTGGACGGCTACCAATAATTCAACTCTATATTTAACTGGACGGCTACCAAGTTTAACTCTATATCTGTAACTAGGTGGAGGGCGAGATTTGGTACGAGGCCTGCAAGGACATCCCCCAGGGGACCGAACTTCTCGTCTGGTACGGCGACTGCTACCTGCAGTTTATGGGGGTGCCGGTGGCCCTGAAAGAGATGGCAGACGGCGGGACGCAGGAGGAAGCCGACAGTGAGTCCATTGGTTTGTTTCTTTACTTTCTTTTTATATGTACATACGTATCAACATATGGTGACATTACCTGATAATGTAATTTAAATTCCTACATCGAAATATAGAAACGTCTTCTTTATTAAATATCTCACTTTTTGACATCTTCCTATAAATTCCCTTACTTTGACACCTTTAAAACACCCTTTCGTTGACATCTTACCAATTGTCCCATCTCTTATACAAATGTCCCCCTTTAAAGCACTAACAAATGCCGCCACCCTATTAGAAAAACTAACAAATGCCCCCAACAAATTTAAAAGACCCTAAAAATGTCCCCCCCCCCATCATCTGAAAGACCCTAACACCCTAACAAATGCCCCCCCCCCACCCACCTTTTAAAAAAAAAAACCTAACAAATGCCGCCCATGCCCCCCCCCCCACCATTAGAATGACTCTAACAAATGTCCCCACCCCACCATTTGAAACACTAACAAATGTCCCCACCCCACCATTTGAAAGACTCTAACAAATGTCCCCACCCCACCATTTGAAAGACTCTAACAAATGTCCCCACCCCACACCATTTGAAAGACTCTAACAAATGTCCCCACCCCACCATTTGAAAGACTCTAACAAATGTCCCCACCCCACCATTTGAAAGACTCTAACAAATGTCCCCACCCCACCATTTGAAAGACTCTAACAAATGTCCCCACCCCACCATTTGAAACACTAACAAATGTCCCCACACCACCATTTGAAAGACTCTAACAAATGTCCCCACCCCACCATTTGAAAGACTCTAACAAATGTCCCCACCCCACCATTTGAAAGACTCTAACAAATGTCCCCACCCCACCATTTGAAACACTAACAAATGTCCCCACCCCACCATTTGAAAGACTCTAACAAATGTCCCCACCCCACCATTTGAAAGACTCTAACAAATGTCCCCACCCCACCATTTGAAAGACTCTAACAAATGTCCCCACCCCACCATTTGAAAGACTCTAACAAATGTCCCCACCCCACACCATTTGAAAGACTCTAACAAATGTCCCCCCCCCCCACACCATTTGAAAGACTCTAACAAATGTCCCCCCCCCCACACCATTTGAAAGACTCTAACTAATGCCCCCCCCCACCATTTGAAAGACTCTAACAAATGCCCCCCCCCCCACCATTTGAAAGACTCTAACAGATGTCCCCACCCCACCATTTGAAAGACTCTAACAAATGCCCCCCCCCACCATTTGAAAGACTCTAACAAATGCCCCCCCCCCCACCCCTGCACCTCTCTGTTCAGCCAGTGAGGGGTTTAGCTGTGAGAGGTGCGGCAAGGTGTTTGCTTACAAGTACTACAGAGACAAGCACCTCAAGTACACACGCTGTGTGGACCAAGGGGACAGGAAGTACCCGTGTCACCTGTGTTCCAGGTCAGTCTACACGTGTTGTGTGTGTCAGGTGTGTTGGATGTGTCAGGTGTGTCAGGTGTGTTACGTGTGTCAGGGGTGTAAGGTGTGTCAGGAGTTCTAGATGTGTTGGCTCTACAGGTGTCAGCTGTTGCGTGTGTAACGTGTGTCAGGTGTGTCAGGTATATAAGATGTAAGGTATGGCAGGTGAGTTGCAAGTGTTAATTGTGTGTGTCAGGTGTGTCATTAATTCGAACTGTGTCAGGTTTTCAAAATGAGACTTATGACACACGCGTGTAACACATGTGTTAAATGTGCAAAATATACAAAAAAAATAATGAGTTAACTTGTAGAGAAAAGAAAGATAAACCAACCGTGACTTGTTTGAATTCTTTATGGAAACTCATCTATGTAGAGCCTGCAACATTTGCTAAACCACTAACACACGAATTTATAACATCCAATAGTGTTGGCAATATCTCGGATCTTCAATCAAGAAGATAAATTATTATCCCCTCGAAATCACAATTTTGTAGACTAGACCATCACCTCTAGACTAGACCTCCAAAGTTGTCCAAATCCCAGTTTTGTTGACTAAGAGAACATCTAAACTCCACAGATCCTTCGAGAAGAGGGACCGTCTCAGGATTCACATCCTACACGTTCACGAGAAACACCGGCCACACAAATGTTTAGTGTGTGCCAAAAGTTTCAGCCAATCTTCCAGTCTAAACAAGCACATGAGGGTAGGTTGACAATCTTCCAGTCTAAACAAGCACATGCGGGTAGGTTGACAATCTTCCAGTCTAAACAAGCACATGCGGGTAGGTTAATAATCTTCCAGTCTAAACAAGCACATGCGGGTAGGTTGACAATCTTCCAGTCTAAACAAGCACATGCGGGTAGGTTAATAATCTTCCAGTCTAAACAAGCACATGCGGGTAGGTTAACATGCATTTTATCACGTGATAGGTCAAATATTTTCAGGCTCTGTCGGGCTCCTTACGATAAAAATAGTATAAAAAACTATTATAAAAATATAAATCGCCCAACGTGGGGCTCGAACCCACGACCCTGAGATTAAGAGTCTCATGCTCTACCGACTGAGCTAGCCGGGCACATGTTGGTGATGTTATGCCTTAAGTACTGTATCCCACAGGTCCACAGCGGAGAACGGCCGTACAAGTGTGTCTACTGCAACAAAGCCTTCACAGCCTCCAGCATCCTCAGAACACATATCAGGCAACATTCTGGGGAGAAACCTTTCAAGGTAGGTCATATTAGGTCATATAAGGTCACATTAGGTCACATTAGGCAACATTAGGCCTTAACAAACAACTAATATACAGCACAACTTGTTACAAAACAAGAACACATATACATATACCTCATACAACGTAGCATGAGACAATATCTCCAGTAAATGTGAACGTGTAACCCTAACCCTAAACCTAAACCTAACCCTGACCTTAACTCTCTATTCCAGTGCAAGCACTGTGGCAAGGCCTTCGCTTCTCACGCTGCCCACGATAGCCATGTACGACGTACTCACGCTAAAGATAGACCCTGCACGTGCTCCATCTGTGGCAAGACGTTCCAGCAATCTTACGAGCTCAAGTTCCACATGGGGTCACATATGGCACTCTGAACCCCGTATCAGGGTTCATCTCATATGGCGCTCTGAACCCCTGACTCAAGTTCATCTACGGCACTCTGAACCCCGTATCAGGGGTGTCACATGTGGCACTCTGAGTCTAAACCCCCGCACAGGGGTCGTCTTATATGGCGCTCTGAACCCCCGTATCAGGGTTCATCTCATATGGCACTCTGAACTCCTGAATAAGTTAATCTACGGCGCTCTGAACCTCAGCATCAGGGGTCTGACATGACACACTGAACCCCTGAATCAGGTTAATGTATCTCAGTGCCTAGAGAAGCACACCTTGGCTCCGCACACCTTAATCTGAGCCCTAACATGCAGGACATCACGTGATCATCTGTTAGGTAACTTTCCCTGGACCAAATAACCCCGTGGAATCAAACAGGATCACTCACGATGCTAGAGTGCTTTAAATCACAGCCAGAGAATATGGGAGTCGTGGGGTCTAAGCTAGAACAATTCTTAGAGTACTTGAGCACAATGGTCAGGTTTTTAGATCTGTGGTCAGTCTATGTTTCAAGCTCTGGTCATCGACTGGTCAGATTTTGTTAGATTTGTGGTCAGTCTATGTTTCAAGCTCTGGTCATCGACTGGTCAGGTTTTTATATCTGTGGTCAGTCTATGTTTCAAGCTCTGGTCATCAACTGGTCAGGTTTTTAGATCTGTGGTCAGTCTATGTTTCAAGCTCTGGTCATCGACTGGTCAGGTTTTTATATCTGTGGTCAGTCTATGTTTCAAGCTCTGGTCATCGACTGGTCAGATTATACAGAGATCTAGTCAGATTGTAAGACCTGATGCACATGTGACCAGCATTGCTGCTAATGCCACCCATACCCCCATCATCAGTGCTGTTGACTGATGCCTCCCCCCCCCCCCCCCCACGCACACACAACAACATTCGTATCAATGACAGTAGACCAGTGGAGGATTGCCGAATAAAAGCTAAAGTAGAAAGCATCAACTGGGTTCGAGAATTAGAGTCGCTGTCAAAAGGAATGAAGGAGGAAGACAGCACAAGGAAAAAATCATGCGATGTATTGGTCTAGCACTCTCTGACTCTTTGGTCCATAATGTTAGTTTCAGGTTGTTAAAGGTATTAGTTGGGTGGGGAGGCAGGCAGGGATAAGAAGGGACAAGCAACCATTTTGTAAATAAACTACACGCATGTAAATATACTGTACATTTATGTATATAAAACATTGACAGTATTAAATAAGTTGTGAAATGTAAACCACATTCGGCAGATATTTTGTCACATGGTGTAAGAGATGATGTGAATTAGTTCTGTGATAAAATCTCGATGTAAAACAAACATTTCTGTGACAGGCGAATGTTGACAATAAAACATTAATCCATCAGCGAGTTTGGTGTCACATATTTTTTTAATATATTGTAACTTACTTTGTATATTGTAACTTACTTTATATATTGTAACTTACTTTATATATTGTAATGTTATTTGTTGTAAAACGTGATGGCTGGGTTTGTGTTTTCAATCATCTGCATTGGCTGGCTACTTGTAGGGCATATCTGCCATGTTGGCCATTTGTAGGGCACATCTGCCCTGTTGGCTACGTATAGGGCATATCTGCCCTGTCAACCACTTGACGGACAGGGCCTATAAACGTCACGTTCCCACCTAGCTAGCAACAAAGTTTTACCGCACACGTGAGTAAATGGAACGCTTTATTGTTGCCTGCCTACTAACCTACCCACACCTTTTACCTGCTGACGGTAATGCGTGCATGACAGATATAAGATGGCCTACAACTTATCAAATTTAGTGTATTTTAACAAAACTATACTAACAAATACCTTAAGTCAACTCATTTAATCTGTGGTTAGTTAACCCATATCCTACTAGCATCACGATTTAAAGATACCTGCCCAATCTAAATTTTCAAATGTAAATTGAATGGAAAGTTTCACTTTCTAAATGTTTAATGAAACGAAAATGTATTTTAATGCAATCATAAACTAACACACAAGTAGCAATAGAAAAACTTTGCGAAATTAAATTACCAGGTACACGTGAAATGAAGTTTACATTGATAACAAACCATAGCAAATAGGAGAGGACGTTATGGCAACGTTTACTTATACAAGACTGTTGTCAGACATTGATACTGTGATCATAGATGTAGTGGCTAGTGAGTTAATTAACAATATCAATCTGAAACTACAACACAATAAGATTATTCAGGAAAATAAGAGATATTTGATGCACTTGTAGTTATAATAAGATGCACTGAACGATGTGTGTTGCATGCACCATCGAGTGCTAGTTATTGGCGACTGTAGCACGAAGCAATTAAGTTCAATAAAAGGATGTAAAATATGGACAAATGAAAGCTCTAATGCTGGGGAAATTTGGGTTTAATGAGTAGTGGCTTACGGCAGTTCGTATGGCTTTTACTAGTCTGGAAATTGGGTGGGGAGAGGGGGGAGGGGGGGGGGGGGGGAGACGACTATAAGGTGTGAGTAATATGAAACATGGGCTGGAGGAGCGTGTGTGTATTTAAATGTGGGGGGGGGGGGGGGAGGGGTGGAGTTGGGAAAATATTTAAGTAGGACTCACACTTTCACCTCCGACGTCTGATAATGAGGTCACGCGGCGCATGCGCTGTCCCGTGTATCTGTGCTTGTTGTGAGACCACTGTATCACTGTGTCATCGACCGTACCTCTACCATCAAAGATTGTCATCGACCGTACCTCTACCATCAAAGATTGTCATCGACCGTACCTCTACTATCAAAGATTGTCATCGACCGTACCTCTACCATCAAAGATTGTCATCGACCGTACCTCTACTATCAAAGATTGTCATCGACCGTACCTCTACTATCAAAGATTGTCATCGACCGTACCTCTACTATCAAAGATTGTCATCGACCGTACCTCTACCATCAAAGATTGTCATCGACCGTACCTCTACCATCAAAGATTGTCATCGACCGTACCTCTACCATCAAAGATTGTCATCGACCGTACCTCTACCATCAAAGATTGTCATCGACCGTACCTCTACCATCAAAGATTGTCATCGACCCTACCGCTGTTAACAAAGATTGTCATCGACCGTACTTCTAACGCAGATAGCTTTCATTTCCCGTCCGCCCTCGGACCTTGTTGTTTCCGAATGTAACAACATTTTCATGTGCTTGTGTGCGGGTCGTGTGGGTCGTGTGGGTCGTGTGGGTCGTGTGGGTCGTGTGGGTCGTGTGGGTCGTGCGGGTCGTGTGGGTCACAAAGAACCCGGCTAGAAACAGGAGCGGGTCTCAACCACCGCCGCGGCACGCTCAGACCCCAATTGAAGAACCGTAGCCGGGTGGGCTAGGGGGCAGGGGTCCGTCTTTTTGAGCGTGAGTTATGTAAAGATGGCCCTCACGTTTTTTTCTGATACAGGCAGGTGCTGATATTGTTACCTTCTGAAGTGGATGGGCAAACATCACTACGATGATGTTACCAGCCGCCCATTCACGCTAATGATTGGAACAACATCACAGCGATGATATTACGGCGACAGCCACTTACTTGAGCTACCAAAAACACGGGCACAATTGAAAGTTAAATAACTCACTGTTGGGTGCCACGTCACGCTGCTCTTAGTTTTTTAAACACCTTTTCAAGTTTTCCAACCAGGTGTTTTGGTGTAATTACCGAAACATTTGTTAACGCCTACTTTGAGAGAGGAGCCAGCTCTGAAAAAAAAATATTGTCACAACTGAATGTAAAGGCGATTAAAATAAATGACGTGTCTATTTACACTCAAGTGGGTCGGCGGGCTAAGTTAGAACATTTACCTGTTAATTAGCCTTAATTAGTAACATCCAGGTCCCTGTTTCTGGCACAGGGCTTGTGTCCATGTATCCTTGTATCCTTGTACCCTTGTACCCTTCTATCCTTGTATCATACAACAGTGTCGTTAAAAATAATTGTCTTTAAAACACGTACACAGGTTATACATGGTTACTAACACTAATCAACATCATCTGACAAAAAGTTGAGTTTTGCCAACACATCTTAATTATTTATTATTGATGTTATTGGTTTACAAGCAAGCAAACTAAACATTAGACATTAATTAGACTTGTAAATTTGAAAAATTAACTTGGAAAATTTAAAAGTTCTTTTTAATCTTCTCCTTTACAACTCACAATGGATCGTAGGCCATTTAGAACATGCTTGCATACTTTTTAGTTCTTTCAAAATTGTTCCATTTCCTTTCAACTCTTTCAATAATTTTTTCGATACCTTAGATTTATGTGTTTTTGGTCTGACCTTTTATCTTCACCTTTGTTAGGTTACGTCATATGCCTTGCCTGGTTAGGTTATACATGTTCCCGTCGCCTCAACCTATGGCCTATCCAGCATTTGTTCTGTGATGGTGCTTTGTGAAACAACATAACATTTATTTTAAGCTTGATTGCAACCTGTCCTTAATGAAACAGATTTTCCACAAGAGTTCAAAGTTCATTGTCTGGTCTTATTACCTATCCTAGAGCTCCATATATTTTTTAAGCGATTCAAGTTTAACAGGTTAAATAGAAAATTCATTTACACCGTTTACAGTGCTGTAACTGAACATTCTTGTATCCGATATTTTAGTACACACTCTAGTGATCCCAAAGAATCTAATTAGACTTAATTATACCAACTGTGGATTTTGGCTAAACTATTCCAACCGCGGTATTATCCTGTAGGTGTTATTATTCTTAAGTTATTCTTCTGTCAACAATCAGCCAGCGTCGATTATCCCAGAAATTTGGAAAATTCTTCCTCGACCGTTCAGATTATGCTAAAATTATTCTCTGATAGACTGAAACGTACACTCATATGAACTAGCAGCGTCAAACGAATAGCTGACAGTGTTCATGGTTGTGGTTATTTGTTTTGATCACTCAGCAGGAAGGCTGGTTAATAGAAATGATACCTGAGTGATCATTTGGCTTAGACGGACAGCTCTAAGACAGCATGATTGTCTGAGGCAACAGAAGGGGAGTGAACTGCTTTCACAAGACGGGCCTCTTCAGGGGGAATAATCCAATATTTTCCTAGGCATGAGAAGACCGCCCCAAACTACCCACACTGCCCGAGGGTGAGGTCGAGTTGGCCCTTGTCATGTGACACGTCAGGTTAACCCCTATCACGTGTCATCTTAGTGAGACGTTCATCACTTTTGGTGTGGCCCAGGCGTTCTCCATCCGCCCTCATGTGTCACCTTTCAGCGGGCCGTCGTGTCACCTTTCTCCGGGCATCGTGTCACCTTTCACCAACCTGACGTCTCACCTATTGCTGTCCAAGACAACACCAGTGTGTCCGCGTGATGACCACTACTTTCTAGTAATACTTTATGAAAACAAATTCTAGAGCCCGGCATAGTTTGGAATCTTGTCATTCCTAGTTTGTTCCAGAGACGGACCAAGCGACGGTTCTCAAACCTCGTTAGTCCTACACTCGTTGATTATTAGTTTGGTATATATATATATATATATATATATATATATATATATATATATATATATATATATATATATATATATATATATATATATATTTATTTATTTATTTATATATAGGCCTATATTTATAAATATATGCTAACATGTATAATATATATATATATATATATATATATATATATATATATATATATATATATATATATATATATATATATATATATATATCGCTCCTGACGATGCAAGAGGTCGCCTCTCCACATCACTTTCCCATGCCAGGCCTATCAAACCTGGAGCTAAATCAACTCCTAAGTAACCTTCAGCACTGAATCAATCTGGACGAGGCTGTGTAAGAAAGACAATCTGTCAACAGTGCGGAGTTCTCGTTCTTAACTTTCATCTTGTTGCGGGGCGGCTCGTTAGCGATGTTGGTTTGCCATTTCCCGACCCCCACGGGCAAATACCGTGACGGTGAGGTCAGTATCGTTTAGCCCCCGGGAAAACACGGCCGATGAGGGGGGGGGGGATAAACTCCGCCGCTGTTCGCTTCCTGTGTCAACAAACATGTCCGCCGCCGCCCGTCACTTGAATGCTAATCACGTCAGCCATGTCAGAGTGTTCCGGCCACAGGCCTTCGCTGGCTTGTCAGTAGACAGATTAGGTGAGTGGAAACATACACGAGAGAAGGGTGTTCGGGGTGTGGGTAGGTGTCGGGGTGTTACAGGGGAGATTATTTGTAGTGGGATAGTCGCAGGTAGATTCGCTGTTAATTGCTGGTTAGTGGAAGATGGTTTGATATAGTGCGATACTATCATTGGTAGTATCATGTGAAACTATCATTGGTAGTATCATGGGAAATTATCATCGAAAGTATCATATGAAATTATCATTGAAAGTATATTTGAAAAGATCATGTGAAATTATCATTGAAAGTATCATATGAAATTATCAATAAAAGTATCATATGAAATTATCATTGAAAGTATCATGTGAAATTATCATTGAAAGTGGTACTTAGATCAACCTAGGTAGATTCATTCTAATAGTATCATCTTAAGTAGATAATGTAGATCCGAAGTAATAGGATAATCCTTCGTAAACCCCTACTTTGGGATAAGACAAGATAGCCTAGATTTTTGTTTGTGGGATAGCTATTTTTAGATCCGTAGCATTGAGTTTATTATCATTTAGATTTGTAAAATTTGGAGAAAACGAGGTAAGAATTTCTTCAAAGAGGCCCTTCCGTAGAAAGTCTACCCCCCCCCCCCCCCCCAGAACGAAATGGAATATATATAGAAAATATATACTTTAACAGTGTCCGTCCGTCCCCCCCCCCCTCCGCCCCCCCCTTCCCCGTCCCCCCAAAAAAAACTTTGTCCTCCCCAATCGCCCCCCCCCCCCCCACCACCCCTGGAGAAAAAAGTCTGGAAGAAACATTGAACTAGGTAGATTCGTAGTTTTTCGATAATCCAGGGTAGGCCAGAGATCATTAGATAATCTCAGGTAAATGTAAACTGTTATAGTATCCCAGACGTACCTCATGAGATAATCAACCAGCTCGTGTCACCTGCTTCAAATGCATTAGTCTCTAATGGATTCGAACCCACACCGTCCGAGCAATCTCCCTTGTCAATAAACTGTTGTGTCGCTCCAGTTTCAATCTGACAAGTCTACCTTTATTTGTCAAGTTTGATGTCAAAAGTCGCTGCATCCTGATGCACACCACTTTGTGCGTTCACTAAGACAACAAGCACCGGTGCGAAACATCCTGGGAAGAAAATAAACAAAGCGACGCAGAAGGAGTCTGGCTGTGCTAAGTTAGAGTGGACGAGAAATTATTTCTTGCTATCTTCAGGCTTCGAACATGGGGACGTTAAACAACACAGGTCAGTGGTCTACAACTCGGCCACCTGGATACCCTGTCATCTGTCCATTCTGTCACTAATCTACTTTGTCGTGTGACTAATCACCAGTGTTTTCTGTCATTAGCCTTTAATTCTGTCTCTTCTCCAGTCACTAGTCTGTTATTAGTGTTTTGTCATTCAATAATGCCAGACTTCTATTCTGTCCTGTTACTAATCACCAGTCTATTCAGTCTCTGTAGCGTAGCGAGGGGGGGGGGGGGGGGGGGGCTGGGGGGGGGGGACATATGTTCCCGGGCGCCGACCTTAGGGGGCGTAAAAAAAATGGGTTGGAAAAATAAATTGAAAGGTCGAGAGGGGTGCAAATCGAAAGTTTGAGGGGGGGGGGGGGTGGAAATCGAAATCTTGAGGGCGGGGGGCGTGCAAATCGAAATCACGAGTGGGGGGGGGGTGCAAATCGAAATCTTGAAAAGGGGGGGGTGCAAATCGAAAAGTTTGTCCCGGGCGCCGGGAAGGGTCGCTACGCCTCTGTTCTGTCTCCTTGACATTAGCGCCTATTATGTTACCAGTCTATTAATATGTCACCTTTTGTCACCAGTCTATTCTGTCACCAGTCTATTAGGTCACCAATCTATTTTGTCACCAATCTATTCTGTCACCAATCTATTCTGTCACTAATCTTTTCTGTCACCAATCTTTTCTGTCACCAATCTTTTCTGTCACCAATTTCTCCTGTTACCAATCTATTTTGTCATCAATCTATTCTGTCACCAATCTATTCTGTCAGTAATCTATTCTGTCACCAATCAATTCTGTCAAAGCTGCTCACTCATCCATGATAATCAAATCACGTGACTAAAGTATCACTCAACAGTTTGCCATTGCGTTAAATCATATTCCAAAACTCCTAGATATAAAAGCACTGTACAAATATCCTTCATAGAAGAAATGTCAGTTTGGATCAAATAGATGAATTCTACTTTCATGTTCAAAACGATGCTTCTTTTAAATACTGTGGTTGATTTAAGAATTACATTTTTTTAAAATAATGTCATTTATTGTCATCTGTTTCCTAATGTCACCAGTTTCATCAAATGTCATGTTTGCTCAAATGTCACCTCTTTCATCAAATGTCATCAGTTTCGTCAAATGTCATATTTTCCCTCAAATGTCATGTGTTTCCTCAAATGTCATCTGTTTCCTCAAATGTCATCTGTTTCCTCAAATGTCATGTGTTTCCTCAAATGTCATCTGTTTCCTCAAATGTCATATGTTCCCTTAAATGTCACCTCTTTCCCCAAATGTCATCCCCCAGCTGACCTGGGCAGGAGCTGGTGTTTGCTGGCCCAGTAAATGGCGTCTGACGTGCACCTGGTCCGCCCGACATGAGCAATAAACCAGCCTGTTTTGAATGGGAATCTGACGGTGCTGGAACTACCTCGGCGTCGACACGACTCCGACGCGGCGACATCTGCGCCCGAGTCACGAAGGAACGGAGACAGATGCTAACCAAAACCGACGGACAAACCAACCAACACTTCCCTTTCCAAGCTCTGGCTGAGAACTGCGGGTTCAAGGTCATCTCAGAGGACGGGTCCAGTGACCTTGACAGCTGGAGCGAGACGACCAGCACGTGTGCCAGTGTCTGCTGGAGCGACCCGGAGTGGGAGGGGCGCGGTTCGGAACTGAGGGTCAGGCGCCCGGCCAGCTCCGCATCGGAGGTGAGTCATGTGAGTCTGTTGGGGGCCAACACGAGGGGCGTGGGCCGCAGTAGCCCTGGTATGCTGGGGCGCAGCACCCCCGTCATGCCTGGCCACCCCCTGCAGCAGAGAGAGGGGGGTGTTCAGAGAAAGGCCGCAGTGAAGAAGGCCCCAGTGGTCGACAACATCGGCTCCCCGCGCCAAGCTGTGGACGACGCTGGCACCTCACGGCACGCAGACGTCTCCCGTGTTTTCCCGCCGGAATCCCTGCCCGCCAAGTGTAAGAACATCGCCAAACAGAACACGACAACAACCAGCGCGCTCAAATCACACGGGGATTTCAAGATGGCGGACAGCTTCAAACCTTCAACGTCAAAGTTTTTCATGGAGCAGTCGGGTTCTCCGGCGCCCAGAGCAGTAGACGTCACCGGCTCTCACGTTTTAAGCACCGAGCACAATAAATACACCCCACACGCTCACGGGGTGGGGGAGGACGTGAGGGCCAAACGGCAGAGCATCCCGGCTATAGTGGAGTCCGACTTTGAGAGCGGCGAGGAGGAGATTCTGATGCCGACGATGCTGGGCAAACGGCGCATGCCGAAGAGAACCGGAGGGATGGTCTACCAGTTGAAGGAGTCAAAGCTACACACAGACCCGTACCAGCCGCTCGACGTGGTCGGGACCTCACAGCCGTTTCACGGGACCTCACAGCCGTTTCAGGGGACCTCACAGCCGTTTCATGGGATCTCACAGCCGCCTGAAGTGTTTTCAACAGCCGACGATTCTCTGGCCGCTCTAAACGTCAACAACACACATTTAACAACATTAAGACCCCCAGCCAATCTGAGTCGGCGGGCCACGACACGAGAAAACAAAACGCTGGACTTAAATAAAAACTGGACGCCGGACAAGACCCGGAGTCTAGATGACGTCATCAGCTTGACCGATGAGATCACTGGGTCCCCCAACCAATCAACTGGACCCCAAGGGGACAGCGACAATTGTGTGAGTACTCAGGGCTGGCCCTACGTCGCCCTTTGACCTTCGTCCATATTTAATCATCAACCCTATCCCAACATACTCTCCATACACTCTCTCTACTATCTATTTAGTCAAGTTCTCTATCCCAACATTAGCTCCATATTCTATCTCAAGTATCTCTTTAGTCAAGTTCTCTATCCCAACATTAGCTCCATATTCTATCTCAAGTATCTATTTAGTCAAGTTCTCTATCCCAACATTAGCTCCATATTCTATCTCAAGTATCTCTTTAGTCAAGTTCTCTATCCCAACATTAGCTCCATATTCTATCTCAAGTATCTCTTTAGTCAAGTTCTCTATCCCAACATTAGCTCCATATTCTATCTCAAGTATCTCTTTAGTCAAGTTCTCTATCCCAACATTAGCTCCATATTCTATCTCAAGTATCTCTTTAGTCAAGTTCTCTATCCCAACATTAGCTCCATATTCTATCTCAAGTATCTCTTTAGTCAAGTTCTCTATCCCAACATTAGCTCCATATTCTATCCCAAGTATCTCTTTAGTCAAGTTCTCTATCCCAACATTAGCTCCATATTCTATCCCAAGTATCTATTTAGTCAAGTTCTCTATCCCAACATTCTCTCCATATTCTGTCCCAACTATCTATTTAGTCAAGTTCTCTATCCCAACATTCTCTCCATATTCTGTCCCAACTATCTATTTAGTCAAGTTGTGTATCCCAACATTCTCTCCATATTCTGTCCCAACTATCTATTTAGTCAAGTTGTGTATCCCAACATTCTCTCCATATTCTGTCCCAACTATCTATTTAGTCAAGTTCTCTATCCCAACATTCTCTCCATATTCTGTCCCAACTATCTATTTAGTCAAGTTGTGTATCCCAACATTCTCTCCATATTCTATCTCAAGTATCTATTTAGTCAAGAACTTTCCCGATCTTAAAACAAAAGTCTCACATCTACCAGGTACTTTATCCTACGTCACTATCCCAAATCTCTCTCTCTCTCTCTCTCTCTTTCTCTCTTTCTATACTCTTCTAAGTATAGCTAGTAAAGACTGACTTTCCCAAAATATCTCTCAACTGCTCTATAGCAAGCCAAAGACTGACGTCACTATCCCAAATCCCTACCGACCCCACTATTGTATTTTCTACTCGTCTATCAACCCACCACTACCATAATACAAACCTTACTTTGGATGGCGAACAACAACATCGTGTACAAACTTAAACGAAACAATTCACTTTTAGTGAATCGAAAAACTTTTGCTGTTTGAAACATGACTAGTGAAATCTGACTTTTCATGACGATGTGTGATGATGTGTTTCGATTTTTCACAATGTTTCATGATGTGTGACGACGTGTGACGATATGTGACGATGAATGACGATGTGTGTCGATGAATGACGATGCGTGACGATGTATGACGATGTTTGACGATGTGTGACGATGAATGACGATGTGTGACGATGTTTGACGACGTGTGACGATGTTTGACGACGTGTGACGATGAATGACGATGTGTGACGATGTGTGACGATGTGTGACGATTTGTGACGATGTGTGACGATGTGTGACGACGTTTGACGGTGTGTGACGATGTATGACGATGGATCAGGGAATAATTGTGTAGTATTCCAAAAAAAAAATAAAAAAATTAGCCACAAGTGCGGAATAAGCTATTTTGTAAACAACTTTCACTTATCTCACAGCACGGGTGAACTCTTATTAAATAATGAAGAAATTCAGAACAATTAAACCAATGAACTTGTTTTTGTTAGAGAGATCAGCTACCATAAGTAAAATATGAAATCATTGTTTATTTTATATGTATGTTTGTGTGTGTGTATGTGCTTCACCTGTTATTGATCATCACGTGATCCCCAGAGTATGTATGTGTTTGTGTGCGTGTATGTGTATGTATGTGTGTGTGTTTCACCTGTAATTGATGATCACGTGATACCCAGAGCGACAAGAGGCACGAGGACTACAAACAGAACATCAACTCCAACTACGAAGACGACGGTGGCGATGAGATTTGTGCCAGCGCTTTCATCGGTCAATACTTGTACGAGCTGTGGAAGAACCAGTGTCTCTGTGATGTCAGAATAAGGGTAACACATGTCATCTTGTACATGTCATGCAGGGTAACACGTGTCATCGTGTACATGTCATGCAGGGTAACATGTCATCTTGTACATGTCATGCAGGGTAACACATGTCATCTTGTACATGTCATGCAGGGTAACATGTCATCGTTTACATGTCATGCAGGGAAACATGTCATCTTGTACATGTCATGCAGGGTAACACATGTCATCTTTTACATGTCATGCAGGGTAACATGTCATCTTGTGATTTCATACAGGGCAACATGTCATCTTTAACATGTCATGCAGGGAACACATGTCATCTTTTCTTTGGCATGCAGGGTAACATGTCATTTTGTGATTTCATGCAGGGTAATATGTCATCTAAATACAATCGTAATTGCTTTTTACCAAACAGTTCTACTAAAAACAGATTATTTTCAATTACAGTTCGCTCACAAAATTTTGCTTTAGCTCCGTGTTTTCCCCCAGGTTGGAAAGAGTTCGTATTTAGCTCACAAAATTGTGCTTTAGCTCCGAGTGTAAAAAAAAATTTGCTATAGCTCCGTGTTTTCCCCCAGGTTGGAAAGAGTTCGTATTTAGCTCACAAAATTGTGCTCGCGGCCTTCAGTGATGTGTTCTGTCCAAATGAGCCTCAGAAACTGCCGTCGTTATGTTTCGACATCCCCAACTCCACGCCAGAAGCCGTTTATCAGGTAAGGGGTGGTCATAGGTGTGTTTCAGCTCTCTCTTGAGAGAATACTTGCATTTCGGTTCATTCAATTTGAAATCACCGTCTGTTTCTGTCTTAAAACTATCGTTGAAAGTTGGTCTAGATTCTCCTGTACCTGTCTATTTGTTTAGATTCTCCTCTACCTGTCTTTGTTTAGATTCTCCTGTACTTGTCTTTGTTTAGATTCTCCTGTACCTGTCTTTGTTTAGATTCTCCTGTACCTGTCTTTGTTTAGATTCTCCTGTACCTGTCTGTTTGTTTAGATTCTCCTGTACCTTTCTTTGTTTAGATTCTCCTGTACCTGTCTTTGTTTAGATTCTCCTGTACTTGTCTTTGTTTAGATTCTCCTGTACCTGTCTTTGTTTAGATTCTCCTGTACCTGTCTTTGTTTAGATTCTCCTGTACCTGTCTGTTTGTTTAGATTCTCCTGTACCTGTCTTTGTTTAGATTCTCCTGTACTTGTCTTTGTTTAGATTCTCCTGTACCTGTCTTTGTTTAGATTCTCCTGTACCTGTCTTTGTTTAGATTCTCCTGTACCTGTCTTTGTTTAGATTCTCCTGTACCTGTCTTTGTTTAGATTCTCCTGTACCTGTCTTTGTTTAGATTCTCCTGTACTTGTCTTTGTTTAGATTCTCCTGTACCTGTCTTTGTTTAGATTCTCCTGTACCTGTCTTTGTTTAGATTCTCCTGTACCTGTCTGTTTGTTTATATTCTCCTGTACCTGTCTTTGTTTAGATTCTCCTGTACCTGTCTTTGTTTAGATTCTCCTGTACCTGTCTTTGTTTAGATTCTCCTGTACTTGTCTTTGATTAGATTAGATTCTCCTGTACCTGTCTTTGTTTAGATTCTCCTGTACCTGTCTGTTTGTTTAGATTCTCCTGTACTTGTCTTTGTTTAGATTCTCCTGTACTTGTCTTTGTTTAGATTCTCCTGTACCTGTCTGTCTAGATTCTCCTGTACCTGTCTGTTTGTTTAGATTCTCCTGTACTTGTCTTTGTTTAGATTCTCCTGTACTTGTCTTTGTTTAGATTCTCCTGTACCTGTCTGTCTAGATTCTCCTGTACCTGTCTGTTTGTTTAGATTCTCCTGTACTTGTCTTTGTTTAGATTCTCCTGTACCTGTCTTTGTTTAGATTCTCCTGTACCTGTCTGTTTGTTTAGATTCTCCTGTACTTGTCTTTGTTTAGATTCACCTGTACTTGTCTTTGTTTAGATTCTCCTGTACCTGTCTGTCTAGATTCTCCTGTACCTGTCTGTTTGTTTAGATTCTCCTGTACCTGTCTGTTTGTTTAAATTCTCCTGTACCTGTCTTTGTTTAGATTCTCCTGTACCTGTCTTTGTTTAGATTCTCCTGTACCTGTCTGTCTAGATTCTCCTGTACCTGTCTTTGTTTAGATTCTCCTGTACCTGTCTGTCTAGATTCTCCTGTACCTGTCTGTCTAGATTCTCCTGTACCCGTCTGTTTGTTTAGATTCTCCTGTACCTGTCTGTTTGTTTAGATTCTCCTGTACTTGTCTTTGTTTAGATTCACCTGTACTTGTCTTTGTTTAGATTCTCCTGTACCTGTCTGTCTAGATTCTCCTGTACCTGTCTGTTTGTTTAGATTCTCCTGTACCTGTCTGTTTGTTTAAATTCTCCTGTACCTGTCTTTGTTTAGATTCTCCTGTACCTGTCTTTGTTTAGATTCTCCTGTACCTGTCTGTCTAGATTCTCCTGTACCTGTCTTTGTTTAGATTCTCCTGTACCTGTCTGTCTAGATTCTCCTGTACCTGTCTGTCTAGATTCTCCTGTACCCGTCTGTTTGTTTAGATTCTCCTGTACCTGTCTGTTTGTTTAGATTCTCCTGTACCTGTCTTTGTTTAGATTCTCCTGTACCTGTCTTTGTTTAGATTCTCCTGTACTTGTCTTTGTTTAGATTCTCCTGTACCTGTCTGTCTAGATTCTCCTGTACCTGTCTGTCTAGATTCTCCTGTACCTGTCTATTTGTTTAGATTCTCCTGTACCTGTCTTTGTTTAGATTCACCTGTACTTGTCTTTGTTTAGATTTTCCTGTACCTGTCTTTGTTTAGATTCTCCTGTACCTGTCTTTGATTAGATTCTCCTGTACCTGTACACCTCGGAGATGGAACTGACCGATGGTATCCTAGAAGAAGTCTTGAATGCCGCGTGTTTCATGGGCATCTGGGAAGTGATCTGCTTGATCAAAGAGATCCTGTCAAAACCTACGTTTGAAAACTTTGGGGTAGGTTTCAAACACATCCATCTGGATACTTTGGGGTAGGTTTCAAACACATCTATCTCGATACTTTGGGGTAGGTTTCAAACACATCCATCTGGATACTTTGGGGTAGGTTTCAAACACATCTATCTCTATACTTTGGGGTAGGTTTTAAACACATCTATCTCTATACTTTGGGGTAGGTTTCAAACACATCTATCTCTTTACTTTGGGGTAGGTTTCAAACACATCCATCTGGATACTTTGGGGTAGGTTTCAAACACATCTATCTCTATACTTTGGGGTAGGTTTCAAACACATCTATCTCTATAGTTTGGGGTAGGTTTCAAACATATCTATCTCTATACTTTGGGGTAGGTTTCAAACACATCTATCTCTATACTTTGGGGTAGGTTTCAAACACATCTATCTCTATACTTTGGGGTAGGTTTCAAACACATCTATCTGGATACTTTGGGGTAGGTTTCAAACACATCTATCTCTATACTTTGGGGTAGGTTTCAAACACATCCATCTTGATACTTTGGGATAGGTTTCAAACATATCTATCTCGATACTTTGAGTAGGTTTCAAACACATCTATCTCGATACTTTGGCTGGGGTAAGGCTTGTCTTAACACTTTGACTGAACACGTACATTAAACCACGAATGTTTAACACTGACCAACTTACTAAACCCTTGATGTAAACCGTCATCTCCCCCCCCCCCACAGATGTACATGGGCATACGAGAGCGCCAAGGCATGTCATGTGGTCTCCTCGACTTCCCTGACATTGTGCGTGAGCACCTACTGGAACTGGTCGACACGCCCCACTTCCTCAACCTGACCATAGCGGATGTGAGTACCACGTGCAGCACTCTCGATGCTAAAATTTGCTCACACACAGGGCCCCTGTGTATCGTATTCTACAACCCCCCTCCCCCCCCCCCCCCTCCCACACTTTCTCTCAACACTAGCTCTCTCTCTCTCTCTCTGGCTCCCAGTATCTCAACATCTCCTCTCCAGATTCGCTAAATTGATTTTGTGCAGGATATTTCTTAGAAAAATCTTACACCTGCTGTCACATATATTAAATTCATGTTTTAAGAATTACAGAAATGGTTAGAAATATGTGATCAAATATTTTAGAAATAGTAATAAACTTAAATTTGTGGATGCAGTGCCGGCTCCCTAGGCAAAACGTATTAAACTGACATCTTTCACACAAATTAATTACTAAAACATATATATAAGAAAGGTATTCATTAAAAGTGATATTAATTTATTATCAGTTGCATACACGTTATAAGTAGACATCAAAATAAAATTTCACTTGATTCCTTCGTCTCAAAAGTTTGTTCTAATTCCTTCAATTCCAGTTAGCAAGCGTAATCACATTCTATTGAAATCGTCGCTAAGTCCACTAGTCTACTTTATACTTTACTATATTATTTTTACAATAGGAAATAATAACTTTAAGTTGTATTTATAGCAGTGTTTCTTCCAGACTTTTTTCTCCGGGGGCACTTGAAATTTTCGGGGTAGACTTTCTTCGGGGAGGCGGACACTGTTAAAAGTATATATTTTCTATATAAATTATGTAAATTTCATTTCGTTCGGGGGGCGGTAGAATTTTTTCGGGGGGGCTTAGCCCCCCCCCCCCCCGAAGAGATGCCTGGAGGAAACTGATTTATATGTAAGCGGTCAACCTAAGGTGCAGGAATTTGAAATAAATATAAAGCTAAGCAACGAATTATCTCCCATTTCAAAATCCAAATACCGAAATTTCATTCAAGGGAAATAACTTTAACAAGAATAGCTACATTAACCAAGCGTAACTAAGACATGCTTGAAAAGCACAATAAAACGCTCTAAATATCATTACTTAACAATTATAAAAAATCTTTTACATTAACTATGTAACCTTGTAAAAACAAAATATTTTAATTATTGAATACTTAATTGTAAGTTTTGTTTGAAAGTCCAAAAATAGTGGCTTTATTATAACATACGTCTATTCAAGTTTGATTACATACTTTTCATTAATTCTGACATCTAGAATATGAAAGTAAATGAAATTTTGGATCCCTTTAATAAGGGACGGCTTAAAAAAAAATCAACTACGTGTAGCTGTTTTAGTTAATGCTGGAATTATTGATTAAATGTAAAAAAAATATATAATTTGAAAAAAAAAACTAAGTTTACGGTTAGTTATAAATTCCATCTTATTTAATATTATATATTAATACTTTAGGAGTGGTAATATAGATTCCTAAAAAAACAAGATTTTTCAGCTAGAGAACGCCTACCTTTCATTGTAGTGTGTTCCGTACTGAATTGAAATAATCTAACTTACGATAAACTCGACTACTCGATATACTCTACTACATTCACAACACATCAAACTTCGATTTCTCAACATAACTAGACTCAATGCTCCAGAACTACGACACCAACTCGTTTAACTTCACCAAGCTCTACAAACGGTACTCCCAATCAACAACGATTTCACTGGACCTACCTCTACACGTTAACAGTCAATATAATTCGATACCCTAATACCACAAGAATTGATACTCCCAAATTCCAGAACTACGACACTTAATCATTTGCATTCTCATTTCTCTATTATCAATCAGATTCTACTAGACCTTCAACTACAAAACAGCCGAATAAAAATTATGATACTAACACTTCGATACTTTATACCAACGAAACCATATCAGCAACAGCCTTTCGCCAAATCTAAACGATTCATCAAAACTTTGAACACATGTCCTTACAAAACTCTATACACCTGAACAGATTTCTAATTCAAACTCAGAGAAAACGAGACTTACAAGCCCTATTAAAATAAGATAACCGTTGAAAATGTTCGAAATTTAAATTGCGAACTTATTTAATAATTTTCTATATCAATTATGTGACACCAATATAAAAAGGCAAAGTGACTGGTCAAAAGCGCCCCGACCTTTCTAAATTAGGGAGGTGGGGTTTCATTTTCATCACTGCGAATAAATATAGGCCTAATTAGACCTAATTTTGGGGTGGGGTTGCAAAATTGGTAGTTCGTCCTGGGCGCCAAATTAGATCGCTACTCCTTTATAAAATATATTAACTATTAGGTACTTTTTGATAATAGCGATCATACCTTTTTACGCCCCCCCCCCTAAGGATGGCGCCCTAGGCGACCGCCTAGTTCGCCCTATAGGTAGCGCCGGTCCTGTGTATATGTGACAGATAGTTACATTGAACGGTTCTAGGACATTACCCCTTTTAATTACCCTCACCACCCAATTTTCGATCCCCCACATTTTCTCCGGAGTCATTAACTCGCAGTCAATTACCCCCCCCCCCCCCCCGGCTCCTCCCCCCTCCCCGATATGCTGAAGAACACTGATTCTAACCGTAATCGTAAAACCCACCACAAACCTATAGCTAAACCTATCCCCAAAATCAATCGTAACCCCAACTCTAAACCTACATCTAACCCTTACCCTAACCCTGATCCTAACACTTGGGGAATGTCTAGCCCCTACACTCTACAACCAGCCAACATAACTCACACGATCTTACGAGTATAAGAAATGTAAACAAGAGATATAAATAGCTCAACACCATCATGACCCAGTTAGTCTGTGCACGTGACCGCCCATTGTCCCCGCCCCCAGCTGGAGACCTTGCTCAAGGACCCGGACATCATGGTGGAGTCCGAGACGGACATCGTGCACGTCATCTCCAAGTGGATCGAGTACAACCCGTTCCACCGCATCAAGTGCGCCGCCCGTCTGCTAAGTCTGGTCAACTTCGACTGCATGCCGCCAGAGACGCTCTTCGACATCGTGGAGGAGAAGAAACACCTGTTTGATATTGACGCCGTCCAGGTTTTGCTAGAGGCCTTCAAGTGAGACGCTCTTTACACTCGTGTTAGCTAGACTTGCTTTACACTCGAGTTAGACCCACTTTACACTCGTTAGCTAGACAATAAGACGCTTTACACGCGTGTTAGATAGACCAACTTTACACTCGCGTTAGACACAATTTACACTTGAGATTGACAAAGTATGATTTACACTCATATAATAAATCCATGACCATCACTTAAATCTTGTTTGTCTTTGGTTAGGCTTGATTTAAAATTGACTTTATTAAAATATCGATCGATCAACACGACTTGAGTTAATGTCGCCTGACCTTGACGTAATTAGAGTATGTTTATCTTCTAAATTGTTTAAACAATGTGTATCACGAATGATAAAAATCTCCACAGGAACCACGCGCTAAAGCCCAAAGATCCAGCACACACACCTGTACAGTCACGTGGGTTTAGTGACAAGGTAACACCTTAAACCTTTTTACCTGCCCTTGTAGAACTTTTTCACCATTTTACCTGCCTTTATAACACCTTTATATCTGCCTTTATAACACCTTTATATCTGCCTTTATAACACCTTTATATCTGCCTTTATAACACCTTTACATCTGCCTTTATAACACCTTTAAAGCTGCCTTTATAACACCTTTATATCTGCCTTTATAACACCTTTATATCTGCCTTTATAACACCTTTATATCTGCCTTTATAACACATTTACATCTGCCTTTATAACACCTTTATATCTGCCTTTATAACACCTTTATATCTGCCTTTGTAACACCTTTACATCTGCCTTTGTAACACCTTTATATCTGCCTTTGTAACACCTTTATATCTGCCTTATAACACCTTTATATCTGTTTTTGTAACACCTTTATATCTGCCTTTGTAACACCTTTATATCTGCCTTTGTAACACCTTTATATCTGCCTTTGTAACACCTTTATATCTGCCTTTGTAACACCTTCTTATCTCTCTAGGTAACACCTTTTTGCATGTTCTTGTAACACCATATCACATGTCGTAGTTCTATCACACAGCCTGTTTTTGCTTTCAATCTATTAAACATTAGCATGGCTAGCAGATTCATTCACTGCTTTGTGCATCATAGATTATGCTTGACTAAACATCTGAGCTATTTTACCTGACTAAACATCTTAGATTATACTTCACTAAACATCTTAGAATATACTTCACTAAACATCTTACATTATACTTCACTAAACATCTGAGCTATTTTACCTGACTAAACTGTCTGTGTATGTCGCAGGATAAGGACCGGAAATGCGGCTCCTGCGGCTCCGAGTCCAACCTGCAGCAGATGGAGCCAATGTTCTCCTTCACCGAGAGACGAACCTCCGACTCACAGGTCAAATCCTTCAGAGAAATCCGAGACCAGTTTGCTTCCCAGCGTCAGACCGAGGCACGGCGCATGTGCCCATGTCCATCTCTCACCCGGACAACCAGGGACAACCCGGACTTAGACAACCCCTTGCCCTCCAGGTTGACGGTGAAGAAGTCTACGTCGCGTGGAATAGAAAAAGGCGGGATGCGAGCAGACGAGAAAGGCCTGCAGCGTGCAGACGACGAGTACCGCAACCCGTACAAGGGCGAGGGCAGGGGTCAACACCCGGACGAGGGGCGAGCTGGGCGTGAGTACAACCTGGGTTCGACGCACGGGAAGTTCCGGACAGACGAGGACAGCGCGCCCAGCAACCAGCGCAGCGCTGAGGCACCCAGGCGGAACTTGGACCGCCGGAACAGGAACATCAACGGGATCAAATCCTCGCCAGGCTACGACGTGGTAGACAGGAGCCGCCAGCCCAGTGTAGAAGACAGGAGCCGCCAGATTGTTCTAGACGACAGGAGCCGTCAGTCGAGCCTGGAGGACAGGGGGCGCCAGGGGAGCCTCGATGACGGGGGGCGCCAGGTGAGTTTTGACCCCAGGTGCTGGCAGAACAACAACGAGTCCAAGTCCACGTCTGGGCGCGGGGGCTGGAACACTGCCTCAGGGATGGTTGAGGAGGAGGATGAGGAGGATTTCCTCCCTCCCCCTCCCAGCAAGCGGAACGTGAGGCGCAGGGGCGACATCATCAAGTCCTATTCATCACCAGGGGAAACAAGCGGCTCCGACAAATTGTGTCGAAAGAAGGTGACTTTTTTCTAACATTGCTGCAAGCATTAGTACACACCATTCACCTAACCCTAACTGAAGTCAATGTGAAATTTATTTACATAACGACCAGTTGATAAGGGATATAACCAGAGAATAATTTTTTAAGTGATATTTTCTGGTAGTGTACCCTAGAAAGAAGCGACAGCGCCCATATAAATAACTTAGAATTCAACGTCATATACGCATAATTTTGAATATATTTTCCCAATTTTGGATACGTTTTGCCCAATTTTGGATACGTTTTGCCCAATTTTGGATAAGTTTGACCAAATGTTGGATACGTTTTGCCAGAATTTGAGTCTGACCACATGACCCCACCAGCCCCTGTATGAGTTTGGGTCACACGAGTTGCTGAACTTGACGAACTAACTTGACGTAGCTGACCGTGGGTTTCGATATGTGTTGGTCAGCCACTATCTCATACTTGGGTTGGCTATCTCAGACTTGGGTTGGCTATCTCAGACTTGGGTTGGCTGCCTCATACATGGGTTGGCTATCTCATACATGGTTCGGCTATCTCAGACTTGGGTTGGCTATCTCAGACTTGGGTTGGCTACCTCATACTTGGGTTGGCTATCTCATACATGTGTTGGTTATCCCACGGGCTTGCTGTGGTATCTGCCACATGTGGACACAGATAAAGTCAGAAAACGCTTCCTCAATGATAACATAGTTTTTAAATTATCAACAGATGTATCAGTGTTAGGCCTTAGTTTGGCTTACAGACGGACTTGTATGTATATATATATAAATATATATATATATATATATATATATATATATATATATATATATATATATATATATATATAAAATGAACCTCGTTTTGTCGATATATGAATTTCATTGAATTATCTAAACCCTTTAGTATTTTGGATTTACACAGATTAGATATAAATTGTTCTGAATTTGTTTTATTTTTAAATTCAATATACGTGCATATACCAATTTACATACATATAAGTTACATACATATAAACACTGTACAATATATATCATAATTATATAACAAATGACGGCTAGAAATAAAATTCATCATTTAAAAAAAACCAAATGTAGCTTGTGTTTGAATTGTGATTAAGATTTTTGACAGGGAGGAATGTGACAGTAGGTCAAAGTTCGCAGCCCCCGACCCTTTAGGTCAAAGGTCGCGGCCCCCGACCCTTTAGGTCAAAGTTCGCAGCCCCCGACCCTTTAGGTCAAAGGTCGCAGCCCCCGACCCTTTAGGTCAAAGGTCGCGGCCCCCGACCCTTTAGGTCAAAGGTCGCAGCCCCCGACCCTTTAGGTCAAAGTTCGCAGCCCCCGACCCTTTAGGTCAAAGGTCGCAGCCCCCGACCCTTTAGGTCAAAGTTCGCAGCCCCCGACCCTTTAGGTCAAAGGTCGCAGCCCCCGACCCTTTAGGTCAAAGGTCGCGGCCCCCGACCCTTTAGGTCAAAGGTCGCAGCCCCCGACCCTTTAGGTCAAAGGTCGCAGCCCCCGACCCTTTAGGTCAAAGGTCGCAGCCCCCGACCCTTTACTTATGATCGCCGATACTGGATACATCCATTGAACAGTGCAACCTTGACCTCCTCCTAACTAGCCACAACCTGTGGCCAAATGTGGCCAGAGTTCCAGCTACCAATGGAGCTCACTCACAGAAAACATTCCAAAATGATTGACTAAAGTTGCACTTTGTAAAACAAGACGTGATGTTATTATACAATGACTACATACAATTTTATGCCTTTAGACCAGCGGAAGTGTGTTTTTGCTATTTTGTAAAGATTCCGGTGAAATAATTAGTGTAGGTGACGTCAGCATTTTGATGACTGTCAGGTGTAAGTGACGTCAGCATTTTGATGACGTGTAGGTGACGTCGGCATTTTGATGACTCAAGTGTAGGTGACGTCAGCATTTTGATGACGTGTAGGTGACGTCAGCATTTTGATGACGTGTAGGTCAGCATTTTGATGACGTGTAGGTGACGGCTTGGTGGCTCAGAAAATGTAACACGTATCTTTTCCAAACGGCTCGAAGCCGGAAAGTACCGGCTCTTCCGGTTGGACAGGCACCCGAGCGGCCATTTTGCCGGCCAGCAATGTGAAGACCAGGTCGACATTGATCTTTCTTGCAACGCTACACTCAACATACATGGCCCCGATGGTCTGGGCCAGGGAGTTGGCCGTCTCGTGGTCTATGGCTCGGCTCTTGGCCAGGTCGACCTTGTTGCCGACCAGTATCAGGTCAACGTCTTCTCCGGCATGTTCGTGGACCTGTTGCCGCCAATGTTGGATGTGGTCAAAGCTGGACTTTCGCGTCAGGTCAAAAACCAAAACAGCTGCAACAACACCAGTGAAAAAACCTGGAAATACGTGCCGCCATCCATGTAAAACATCGCGGGCCTCCAGTTTCACGGTCACCCCAGAGACGTCTATTGCCATCCGCCTGCTAGATAAGGATATAGCCATGAGACTAGGGCATAGTGTTGTGGGTGGGGGGATGGGTGGGGGCATAGCCATGAGACTAGGGCACAGTGTTGTGGGGGGGGGGATAGCCATGAGACTAGACCACAGTGTTGTGGGGGGGGGGGGGGGCATAGACATGACACTAGGCCACAGTGTTGTGGGGGGGGGGGCATAGACATGAGACTAGACCACAGTGTTGTGGGGGCATAGCAATGAGGCTAGGGCACAATGTTGTGGGGGGGGGGCATAGCCATGAGACTAGGGCATAGTGTTGTGGGGGCATAGCCATGAGACTAGGGCATAGTGTTGTGGGGGCATAGCCATGAGACTAGGGCAGTGTTGTGGGGGGGGGGGGGCATAGCCATGAGGCTAGGGCACAGTGTTGTGGGGGGGGGGCATAGCCATGAGACTAGGGCACAGTGTTGTGGGGGGGGGGGCATAGCCATGAGACTAGGGCATAGTGTTGTGGGGGCATAGCCATGAGACTAGGGCATAGTGTTGTGGGGGCATAGCCATGAGACTAGGGCATAGTGTTGTGGGGGCATAGCCATGAGACTAGGGCACAGTGTTGTGGGGGGGGGGGGCATAGCCATGAGGCTAGGGCATAGTGTTGTGGGGGCATAGCCATGAGACTAGGGCAGTGTTGTGGGGGGGCATAGCCATGAGGCTAGGGCACAGTGTTGTGGGGGGGGGGGGGGCATAGACATGACACTAGGCCACAGTGTTGTGGGGGGGGCATAGACATGAGACTAGACCACAGTGTTGTGGGGGCATAGCAATGAGGCTAGGGCACAGTGTTATGGGGGGGGGCATAGCCATGAGACTAGGGCATAGTGTTGTGGGGGCATAGCCATGAGACTAGGGCATAGTGTTGTGGGGGCATAGTCATGAGACTAGGGCAGTGTTGTGGGGGGGGGCATAGCCATGAGACTAGGGCACAGTGTTGTGGGGGCATAGCCATGAGACTAGGGCATAGTGTTGTGGGGGCATAGCCATGAGACTAGGGCATAGTGTTGTGGGGGCATAGCCATGAGACTAGGGCACAGTGTTGTGGGGGGGCATAGCCATGAGGCTAGGGCATAGTGTTGTGGGGGCATAGCCATGAGACTAGGGCATAGTGTTGTGGGGGCATAGCCATGAGACTAGGGCACAGTGTTGTGGGGGCATAGCCATGAGACTAGGGCATAGTGTTGTGGGGGCATAGCCATGAGACTAGGGCACAGTGTTGTGGGGGGGGCATAGCCATGAGGCTAGGGCATAGTGTTGTGGGGGCATAGCCATGAGACTAGGGCATAGTGTTGTGGGGGCATAGCCATGAGACTAGGGCATAGTGTTGTGTTGTGGGGGGGGCATAGCCATGAGACTAGGGCATAGTGTTGTGGGGGCATAGCCATGAGACTAGGGCATAGTGTTGTGTTGTGGGGGGGACATAGTCATGAGACTAGGCCACAGTGTTGTGGGGGCATAGCCATGAGGCTAGGGCATAGTGTTGTGGGGGCATAGCCATGAGACTAGGGCATAGTGTTGTGGGGGCATAGCCATGAGACTAGGGCATAGTGTTGTGTTGTGGGGGGCATAGCCATGAGACTAGGGCATAGTGTTGTGGGGGCATAGCCATGAGACTAGGGCATAGTGTTGTGTTGTGGGGGGACATAGTCATGAGACTAGGGCACAGTGTTGTGGGGGGGGGGGCATAGCCATGAGACTAGGGCACAGTGTTGTGGGGGGGGCATAGCCATGAGACTAGGGCACAGTGTTGTGGGGGGGCATAGCCATGAGACTAGGGCAGTGTGTTGTGGGGCATAGCCATGAGACTAGGCCACAGTGTTGTGGGGGGGGCATAGCCATGAGACTAGGGCACAGTGTTGTGGGGGGGGGCATAGCCATGAGACTAGGGCAGTGTGTTGTGGGGGCATAGCCATGAGACTAGGCCATAGTGTTGTGGGGGCATAGCCATGAGACTAGGGCACAGTGTTGTGGGGGCATAGCCATGAGACTAGGGCACAGTGTTGTGGGGGGGCATAGCCATGAGACTAGGGCACAGTGTTGTGGGGGGGGCATAGCCATGTGACTAGGCCACAGTGTTGTGGGGGGGGGCATAGCCATGAGACTAGGGCACAGTGTTGTGGGGGGCATAGCCATGAGACTAGGGCACAGTGTTGTGGGGGGGGGGGCATAGCCATGAGACTAGGGCAGTGTGTTGTGGGGGCATAGCCATGAGACTAGGCCATAGTGTTGTGGGGGCATAGCCATGAGACTAGGGCACAGTGTTGTGGGGGCATAGCCATGAGACTAGGGCATAGTGTTGTGGGGGCATAGTCATGAGACTAGGGCAGTGTTGTGGGGGGGGCATAGCCATGAGACTAGGGCACAGTGTTGTGGGGGCATAGCCATGAGACTAGGGCATAGTGTTGTGGGGGCATAGCCATGAGACTAGGGCATAGTGTTGTGGGGGCATAGCCATGAGACTAGGGCACAGTGTTGTGGGGGGGGCATAGCCATGAGGCTAGGGCATAGTGTTGTGGGGGCATAGCCATGAGACTAGGGCATAGTGTTGTGGGGGCATAGCCATGAGACTAGGGCACAGTGTTGTGGGGGCATAGCCATGAGACTAGGGCATAGTGTTGTGGGGGCATAGCCATGAGACTAGGGCACAGTGTTGTGGGGGGGCATAGCCATGAGGCTAGGGCATAGTGTTGTGGGGGCATAGCCATGAGACTAGGGCATAGTGTTGTGGGGGCATAGCCATGAGACTAGGGCATAGTGTTGTGTTGTGGGGGGGGGCATAGCCATGAGACTAGGGCATAGTGTTGTGGGGGCATAGCCATGAGACTAGGGCATAGTGTTGTGTTGTGGGGGGGACATAGTCATGAGACTAGGCCACAGTGTTGTGGGGGCATAGCCATGAGGCTAGGGCACAGTGTTGTGGGGGGGCATAGCCATGAGACTAGAGCATAGTGTTGTGGGGGCATAGCCATGAGACTAGGGCATAGTGTTGTGGGGGGCATAGCCATGAGACTAGGGCAGTGTTGTGGGGGCATAGCCATGAGACTAGGGCACAGTGTTGTGGGGGGGCATAGCCATGAGGCTAGGGCATAGTGTTGTGGGGGCATAGCCATGAGACTAGGGCATAGTGTTGTGGGGGCATAGCCATGAGACTAGGGCACAGTGTTGTGGGGGCATAGCCATGAGACTAGGGCATAGTGTTGTGGGGGCAAAGCCATGAGACTAGGGCACAGTGTTGTGGGGGGGGCATAGCCATGAGGCTAGGGCATAGTGTTGTGGGGGCATAGCCATGAGACTAGGGCATAGTGTTGTGGGGGCATAGCCATGAGACTAGGGCATAGTGTTGTGTTGTGGGGGGGCATAGCCATGAGACTAGGGCATAGTGTTGTGGGGGCATAGCCATGAGGCTAGGGCATAGTGTTGTGGGGGCATAGCCATGAGACTAGGGCATAGTGTTGTGGGGGCATAGCCATGAGACTAGGGCATAGTGTTGTGTTGTGGGGGGCATAGCCATGAGACTAGGGCATAGTGTTGTGGGGGCATAGCCATGAGACTAGGGCATAGTGTTGTGTTGTGGAGGGGACATAGTCATGAGACTAGGGCACAGTGTTGTGGGGGGGCATAGCCATGAGGCTAGGGCATAGTGTTGTGGGGGGGGCATAGCCATGTGACTAGGCCACAGTGTTGTGGGGGGCATAGCCATGAGACTAGGGCACAGTGTTGTGGGGGGGCATAGCCATGAGACTAGGGCAGTGTGTTGTGGGGGCATAGCCATGAGACTAGGCCACAGTGTTGTGGGGGGGCATAGCCATGAGACTAGGGCACAGTGTTGTGGGGGGGCATAGCCATGAGACTAGGGCAGTGTGTTGTGGGGGCATAGCCATGAGACTAGGCCATAGTGTTGTGGGGGCATAGCCATGAGACTAGGGCACAGTGTTGTGGGGGCATAGCCATGAGACTAGGGCACAGTGTTGTGGGGGGGAATAGCCATGAGACTAGGGCACAGTGTTGTGGGGGGCATAGCCATGTGACTAGGCCACAGTGTTGTGGGGGGGGCATAGCCATGAGACTAGGGCACAGTGTTGTGGGGGGCATAGCCATGAGACTAGGGCACAGTGTTGTGGGGGGGGGGGGCATAGCCATGAGACTAGGGCATAGTGTTGCGGGGGCATAGCCATGAGACTAGGGCATAGTGTTGTGGGGGCATAGCCATGAGACTAGGGCACAGTGTTGTGGGGAGGCATAGCCATGAGACTAGGGCATAGTGTTGTGGGGGCATAGCCATGAGACTAGGGCATAGTGTTGTGGGGGCATAGCCATGAGACTAGGGCACAGTGTTGTGGGGGGGGCATAGCCATGAGGCTAGGGCATAGTGTTGTGGGGGCATAGCCATGAGGCTAGGGCATAGTGTTGTGGGGGCATAGCCATGAGACTAGGGCATAGTGTTGTGGGGGCATAGCCATGAGACTAGGGCATAGTGTTGTGTTGTGGGGGGGGGCATAGCCATGAGACTAGGGCATAGTGTTGTGGGGGCATAGCCATGAGACTAGGGCATAGTGTTGTGTTGTGGGGGGGGGGGGACATAGTCATGAGACTAGGGCACAGTGTTGTGGGGGGGGGGGGGCACAGCCATGAGGCTAGGGCACAGTGTTGTGGGGGCATAGCCATGAGACTAGGGCATAGTGTTGTGGGGGCATAGCCATGAGGCTAGGCCACAGTGTTGTGTGGGCATAGCCATGAGGCTAGGGCATAGTGTTGTGGGGGCATAGCCATGAGACTAGGGCATAGTGTTGTGTTGTGGGGGGGCATAGCCATGAGACTAGGGCATAGTGTTGTGGGGGCATAGCCATGAGACTAGGGCATAGTGTTGTGTTGTGGGGGGGACATAGTCATGAGACTAGGGCACAGTGTTGTGGGGGGGGCATAGCCATGAGGCTAGGGCATAGTGTTGTGGGGGGGCATAGCCATGAGACTAGGGCACAGTGTTGTGGGGGGGCATAGCCATGAGGCTAGGGCAGTGTGTTGTGGGGGGGCATAGCCATGAGACTAGGGCAGTGTGTTGTGGGGGGGCATAGCCATGAGACTAGGGCAGTGTGTTGTGGGGGGGCATAGCCATGAGACTAGGGCAGTGTGTTGTGGGGGGGCATAGCCATGAGACTAGGGCAGTGTGTTGTGGGGGCATAGCCATGAGACTAGGCCACAGTGTTGTGGGGGGGGCATAGCCATGAGACTAGGGCACAGTGTTGTGGGGGGGGGGCATAGCCATGAGACTAGGGCAGTGTGTTGTGGGGGCATAGCCATGAGACTAGGCCATAGTGTTGTGGGGGCATAGCCATGAGACTAGGGCACAGTGTTGTGGGGGGCATAGCCATGTGACTAGGCCACAGTGTTGTGGGGGGCATAGCCATGAGACTAGGGCACAGTGTTGTGGGGGGGGCATAGCCATGAGACTAGGGCATAGTGTTGTGGGGGGGGACATAGTCATGAGACTAGGCCACAGTTTTGTGGGGGGCATAGCCATGAGACTAGGGCACAGTGTTGTGGGGGGGCATAGCCATGAGACTAGGGCATAGTGTTGTGGGGGCATAGCCATGAGACTAGTTCACAGTGTTGTGGGGGCATAGCCATGAGACTAGGGCAGTGTTGTGGGGGGGGGGCATAGCCATGAGGCTAGGGCATAGTGTTGTGGGGGCATAGCCATGAGACTAGGGCAGTGTTGTGGGGGGGGGGCATAGCCATGAGGCTAGGGCACAGTGTTGTGGGGGCATAGCCATGAGACTAGGGCATAGTGTTGTGGGGGCATAGCCATGAGGCTAGGCCACTGTGTTGTGTGGGCATAGCCATGAGGCTAGGGCATAGTGTTGTGGGGGCATAGCCATGAGACTAGGGCATAGTGTTGTGGGGGCATAGCCATGAGACTAGGGCATAGTGTTGTGTTGTGGGGGGGGGCATAGCCATGAGACTAGGGCATAGTGTTGTGGGGGCATAGCCATGAGACTAGGGCATAGTGTTGTGGGGGCATAGCCATGAGACTAGGGCACAGTGTTGTGGGGGCATAGCCATGAGACTAGGGCATAGTGTTGTGGGGGCATAGCCATGAGACTAGGGCATAGTGTTGTGTTGTAGGGGGGGCATAGCCATGAGACTAGGGCAAAGTGTTGTGTTGTGGGGGGGGACATAGTCATGAGACTAGGGCACAGTGTTGTGGGGGGGCATAGCCATGAGACTAGGGCATAGTGTTGTGGGGGCATAGCCATGAGACTAGGGCACAGTGTTGTGGGGGGGGCATAGCCATGAGACTAGGGCATAGTGTTGTGGGGGCATAGCCATGAGACTAGACCACAGTGTTGTGGGGGCATAGCCATGAGACTAGGGCAGTGTTGTGGGGGGGGGGGGCATAGCCATGTGACTAGACCACAGTGTTGTGGAGACTTCTAAAAGTTTGAACATTTACCTGCAAGGGTAGCCTAATGTTTTTTATATATTCCATAAAAGTTTTTTTTGAAAGCTCCCAACATGATGGAAGTCTTCCCAACGTCAGGTTCTCCAAATATGATCACTTTCAGAGGGTACTGGTCTGATTCTCTGGGATAGATACTAGACGCTGCCTGGAATTAATTAGGTATACGCTTTGAATTTTAGTTCATGTTAGCGCAAATGTTAGCTAATATTTTATCTTATCTGCCGCTAATCTAACCAAATTAGTAATGATTTTAATTGGTAATACAATTAAAACAAAACTTACCATTGTGTCTTGTGACCAGAAAACAATGAGTTGATAGCTCGCAGTAAAACTGTATTATCTCGCCCACAATGGTAAGTCAGCCATAGCGGTAGTCACGTGATGGTGTCCTATCTCAAACAGCCAATCTTCATTGGTTTTGTAGACTTGGTTTTTGATATGTGACCAGAACTGATGTTGGTACACACCTGTTGGTACACACCTGTTGGTACACACCTGTTGTTGGTACACACCTGTTGCTACACACCTGATGGTACACACCTGTTGGTACACAACTGTTGGTACACACCTGTTGGTACACACCTGTTGGTACACACCTGTTGGTACACACCTGTTGGTACACACCTGTTGGTACACACCTGTTGGTACACACCTGTTGGTACACACCTGTTGGTACACACCTGTTGGTACACAACTCTTGGTGCACAACTCTTGGTACATTGCAGTCTGTCCACAAAAACGAGTCAAATCCGGGACCTCCACACCAAAATACAAGTATAGAAAAGAGAGAGAGAGAGAGAGAGAGAGAGAGAGAGAGAGAGAGAGAGAAAGAGAGAGAATGAGAGAGAGACGGATGTAAGAGAGAGCAATAGAAAAAGGGGGAGGCAGAAAGAGAATGAGGAAGGAAAGAAATGGAAAGTTAAAGTACGAAAGAAAGAGAAAAATACAGAGATAAAGATAAATAGATAGGGGAGAGAATCAGTTAAATAAAAACATTATACAAATAATTGCAATCAACTATTCATCTAGTAGGAGAAGAGTTTTAATGACATTTTGTAAACAAAATCTGGATATCCTACAAGATCAATAAACAAAGTTATAATTATAAGTAATTAATGCCGCGAAGATACTTTCATCATTTGAGTTGGAGTGTTTGTCTATCTTACTTATATGTCAAAATTTTAAATTGATGTTGGTGTATTTGTTTATTTTACTGTTACAACTCTAAATTGGTGTTAGTCCTGTCGGTCGTTTCACCAAAGATCTGTTTGAAGAACTTAAAATAACTAAAAAGATCGCAAAAATACAAAAAACAAAACCACCAAATCCAGTCCGCCATTTATTCGCTTATGTTAACACTGAGAAAACGTCTGAGAAATCAACATAAATAAATCTGAAATAGTCGAGAAGAAAAAGTTGAGAGCATAAAAAATGTCGCATTCTGGAGCTTGCATCTAATTAAAAATGTTGCATGTACAATTTGATTGGTCTATTTGGATGACAGCTCGTCTGGATTGGGCGGGACGATGGAGCTTGACCTTCGGCTGCTGACCTTGTGGCGACAGACGACCACCTACAACAGCAAACAACACATTGATAACGGCAAGACAACAGCAACAAACACATTGATAACGGCAAGACAACAGCAAACAACACATTGATAACGGCAAGACAACAGCAAACAACACATTGATAACGGCAAGACAACAGCAACAAACACATCGATAACGGCAAGACAACAGCAAACAACACATTGATAACGGCAAGCAACAGCAAACAACACATTGATAACGGCAAGACAACAGCAAACAACACATTGATAACGGCAAGACAACAGCAAACAACACATTGATAACGGCGAGCAACAGCAAACAACACATTGATAACGGCAAGACAACAGCAACAAACACATCGATAACGGCAAGACAACAGCAAACAACACATTGATAACGGCAAGCAACAGCAAACAACACATTGATAACGGCAAGACAACAGCAAACAACACATTGATAACGGCAAGACAACAGCAAACAACACATTGATAACGGCGAGCAACAGCAAACAACACATTGATAACGGCAAGACAACAGCAACAAACACATCGATAACGGCAAGACAACAGCAAACAACACATTGATAACGGCAAGCAACAGCAAACAACACATTGATAACGGCAAGACAACAGCAAACAACACATTGATAACGGCAAGACAACAGCAAACAACACATTGATAACGGCAAGACAACAGCAAACAACACACTGATAACGGCAAGACAACAGCAAACAACACATTGATAACGGCAAGACAACAGCAAACAACACATTGATAACGGCAAGACAACAGCAAACAACACATTGATAACGGCAAGACAACAGCAAACAACACATTGATAACGGCAAGCAACAGCAAACAACACATTGATAACGGCAAGACAACAGCAAACAACACATTGATAACGGCAAGACAACAGCAAACAACACATTGATAACGGCAAGACAACAGCAAACAACACATTGATAACGTCAAGACAACAGCAAACAACACATTGATAACGGCATGCTGTTGTGCTATATACAATATGAAGTAAACAACGTGAACCCACACAGAGTCCTGGAACTATTAGAGTCGCACACAAAATACATGCAGATGTTAAATGCTTTTTGTAGCAGTTTTTAAATGATATAGTTTGTAAATATTAGTATTTAGGTATTGTAAAAAATAAATAGGATCAAATAAAACTAAGTATAACAAAATGTCAAACGCGACGTTGTTCAGTCTAGCTTATTGGAATATAAACTTGATAGCTTGAACTACACTACAACTTACCCAATTTGAAAAAAGACAGTTTAGTATAAATACATTTTATAAACAAGCTTTTAAGTACAATAAAATTAGAAATTTATTTTTCTGTAGCTATAACTAAAATTTATTAGAAAAAGTGTTCGTCGAAATAAATTTCGTAAGCGGTCGCCGCTCATTCAAACTGATCACTAACGGGAATGTATAAATATTTTATTTTATTTGAGTGTTCACACTAGTAACTTACCAACAGGGGCGTCCAGCAAGTGACCGGAATATTACTCTATATTTCCGGCAACTTACCGGCATATTGCTTAAAATGACCGGCAACTTACCGGCATGCCACTCAAATGACCGGCATACTACCCAAATGACCGGCAACTTACCGGCATACTACCCAAATGACCGGCAACTTACCGGCACATTACCCAAATGACCGACAACTTACCGGCATGCTACCCAAATGACCGGCAACTTACCGGCATGCTAACCAAATGACCGGCAACTTACCGGCACATTACCCAAATGACCGGCAACTTACCGGCATGCTACCCATATGACCGGCAATTTACCGGCATGCTACCCAAATGACCCGCAACTTACCGGCATGCTACCCAAATGACCGGCAACTTACCGGCACAGTACCCAAATGACCGGCAACTTACCGGCACATGCGAGTGGTGCACAATGTAGTCACTGACTGTCCCGAGAATTGTTCGTCTGAGTGCGCTCCGTCCCCGGCACCCAATGACTATGACGTCACATTTCTCTTCCTCCGCCGTCCTCAAGATGGCGACCTCCGGACTTTTGGCCGATATGGCTCGGACCTTGCCGTGCGCCTGTTGAATAAAACATCAAGTCCTGCGTGACCAGCTACCGGCCAGCTAGTTGCAGTAACATTTGATTCAAACTTTAATTATGACGGGTCAGTAAGACCCCAACCAAATCATATCATGAAAGTATCTACACAATGTCTTCACTGGTGTACATGCCACTGAGCTTCAGTGAATAACTAGGACTCGTAGGAAAACGTTTTAATTTGAAAAGCTTACGTACAGAATGTTGAAGCAGTTTTTCTCGAAACTTCTCTAATGTACGTGTCAGAGAGCCTCACTGAATGAACTAGAACCCGTAGGAAAACGTTTTAATTTGAAAAGTTTACGTACAGAATGTTGAAGCAGTTTTTCTCGAAACTTCTCCAGCTCGTGGTGTAGCTGCTCCTCCCCCTCTCTCACCCTCACGTTCTCCACCTCACGGTCAACAAACACGTACTTGCCTGTACACAAACATTGTCATAGGTCAACAAACATTGTCATAGGTCAACAAATATTGTCATAGGTCAACAAACACGTACTTGCCTGTACACAAACTTTGTCATAGGTCAACAAACATTGTTATAGATCAACAAACATTGGCATAGGTCAACAAATAGTATCATAGGCCAACATTGCCATAGGTTAACATTGTCATAGGTCAATAAACAATAGTATTATATACATATAGGTCAATAAACATTATCATAGGTCAACAAACAATAGTATCACATACACATAAATGATGTATGACGCCCTTGAAAATAGTTTAGTATCTAAAGGTTAAATAAATGTTTGCTGAAGGTTTCAAACATAGAAGTTATTATGTTGTGATATTGAAGTTTAGCCGTGTGTATGTCGTGTGTCGGTGGATCTTGTCGTGTGTTGGTGTGTGCACTATGTTGTATCTTGTTGATCTCAGCGCTGTTAACTACTGAATGTTGACTGTTGACAACTGAATGTTGACTACTGAATGTTGAATATTGAATGTTGACTGTTGACTGAATGTTGACTGTTGACTGAATGTTGACTGTTGACTACTGAATGTTAACTGTTGACTGAATGTTGACTGTTGACTACTGAATGTTGACTGAATGTTGACTGTAGACTACTGAATGTTGACTGTTGACTGAATTTTGACTGTTGACTGAATGTTGACTGTTGACAATGTTGAAGAGATACAACACTGAACCTGCGTTCCATTGGCTCCTCCCTGTGTCGTGTAGGTCGGGGCAGTTGAGGAGGACGATGTAGTCTTCACTGGTCCACAGGTGTTGGAAGTACCCTGGTCAATGGGGGAACACAGGTGTTACACAGGTGGGACGCAGGTGTTACACAGGTGGGACACAGGTGTTACACAGGTGTTGGAAGTACCCTGGTCAATGGGGGAACAGAGGTGTTACACAGGTGGGACGCAGGTGTTACACAGGTGGGACACAGGTGTTACACAGGTGTTGGAAGTACCCTGGTCAATGGGGGAACAGAGGTGTTACACAGGTGGGACACAGGTGTTACACAGGTGGGACACAGGTGTTACACAGACAGGTGGGACACATGTGTTACACAGGTGGGACACAGGTGTTACACAGGTGGGACACAGGTGTTACACAGACAGGTGGGACACATGTGTTACACAGACAGGTGGGACACAGATGTTACACAGGTGGGACACAGGTTTTACACAGACAGGTGGGACACAGATGTTACACAAGTGGGTACCCGGTGTTACACAGAAAGGTGGGACTCAGGTGTTACACAGACAGGTGGGACACAGGTGTTGGAAGTACCCTGGGCAATAGGGGAACACAGGTGTTACACAGGTGGGACACAGGTGTTACACAGACAGGTGGGACACAGGTGTTACACAAACAGGTCTGACACAGGTGTTGGAAGTACACTGGGCAATAGGGGAACACAAGACTGCTACTTACAATCACAAAGTTTGAATACTGGACTTACAATCACAATTAAATTTCAAAGACTTACAATCACAATCACAGTTCGATGACTAGACTTACAATCACAAGCAAAGTTGGACGGCTGGACTTACAATCACAAGCAAAGTTGGACGGCTGGACTTACAATCACAAGCAAAGTTAGACGGCTCACTCCCGTCCACTCCTATCAACACGCGCTTGCCGGTCGCCTCCGCCCCTTTCCCAGTGAAGCGTGTCAGGTTGTGGTGGTGATGGTGATGGTGGTGGTGGTCCTCTGGGGTGGGGGATGACGAGGCGGATGACGTGGTGATCTCTGGAATCTCCAGGCTGGACATTTTCTGGACACGAGGGATTAGGATTTACGTTTTAAAGGCAGACAACTAGCAGAAATACAACCTAACATGTTTTATAATGGGTAGCCTCCCTTTGCTTGGGTTACAATCTATATATATAAAGCAAAGTGGTCAAGTGCCCGATAGGGCACTTCCCGGCGCCGCAGGCGCGTCAAATTTGGCACGATGGTGCCTTCGGGCGATAGAACACGAAGGCCGGTGACGGTTGGCCAAAAAGTCTACGGAGAGGGGGTCAAAACTGACCTCGACTGACCGGCGCCTTATATGGGCTATATTACGAAAAAAATTTTCCTCCGACGACCCCCCTTGATATTTTGTGAGGTGGTAGGAGAACGCCTTGGGGTGTCACAAAAAACTCGCCATGTCCGGGAAAAATCGGGTAATGGGTCAAAACTGACCAGTTGTATTTCCCTATATAATCTTTGTATTTTATGGGAAAAACATAGGGTCATTTCAAAACGGACTTTAGGGCACTTACCCTCTTTACATCTGGCTAATGTTTGGCATGTTTATAGGTAAATGGCTTGGCCGTAGGGCAGACCTGTCAGTTTTACTCAAAGCCCTCGACGAGGGCTAAAAAGTGACCGCGAGTGAAATTCTCTTTATATGACCTCTATTACGAAAAAAAATTTCCTCCGACGACCCCCCTTGAAATTTTGTGAGGTGGTAGGAGAACGCCTTGGGGTGTCACAAAAAACTCGCCATGTCCGGGAAAAATCGGGAAACGGGTCAAAACTGACCAGTTGTATTTCCCTATATAATCTTTGTATTTTATTGGAAAAACATAGGGTCATTTCAAAACGGACTTTAGGGCACTTACCCTCTTTACATCTGGCTAATTTTTGGCATGTTTATAGGTAAATGGCTTGGCCGTAGGGCAGACCTGTCAGTTTCACTCAAAGCCCTCGACGAGGGCTAAAAAGTGACCGCGAGTGAAATTCTCTTTATATGAGCTCTATTACGAAAAAAAAATTCCTCCGACGACCCCCCTTGAAATTTTGTGAGGTGGTAGGAGAACACCTTGGGGTGTCACAAAAAACTCGGCATATCTGGGAAAACTTCGTAAAGGGGTCAAAACTGACCAGTTGTATTTCCCTATATAATCTTTGTATTTTATGGGAAAAACAGAGGGTCATTTCAACGCAGACTTTAGGGTACTTAAGCTCATTATATCTAACTAATTTTTTTGCATGCTCCTAGGTCAATGGATTGACCTTTAGGGAAAACTGTCGGTTACACTCAAAGCCCTCGAAGAGGGCTAAAAAGTGACCGCGAGTGAAATTCTCTTTATATGAGCTCTATTACGAAAAAAAAATTCCTCCGACGACCCCCCTTGATATTTTGTGAGGTGGTAGAAGAACACCTAGGGGTGTCACAAAAAACTCGGCATATCTGGGAAAACTTCGTAAAGTGGTCAAAACTGACCAGTTGTATTTCCCTATATAATCTTTGTATTTTATGGGAAAAACAGAGGGTCTTTTCAACGCAGACTTTAGGGTACTTAAGCTCATTATATCTGACTAATTTTTTTGCATGCTCCTAGGTCAATGGATTGACCTTTAGGGAAAACTGTCGGTTACACTCAAAGCCCTCGACGAGGGCTAAAAAGTGACCGCGAGTGAAATTCTCTTTATATGAGCTCTATTACGAAAAAAAATTTCCTCCGACGACCCCCCTTGATATTTTGTGAGGTGGTAGAAGAACACCTAGGGGTGTCACAAAAAACTCGGCATATCTGGGAAAACTTCGTAAAGCGGTCAAAACTGACCAGTTGTATTTCCCTATATAATCTTTGTATTTTATGGGAAAAACAGAGGGTCTTTTCAACGCAGACTTTAGGGTACTTAAGCTCATTATATCTGTCTAATTTTTTTGCATGCTCCTAGGTCAATGGATTGACCTTTAGGGAAAACTGTCGGTTACACTCAAAGCCCTCGACGAGGGCTAAAAAGTGACCGCGAGTGAAATTCTCTTTATATGAGCTCTATTACGAAAAAAAATTTCCTCCGACGACCCCCCTTGATATTTTGTGAGGTGGTAGAAGAACACCTAGGGGTGTCACAAAAAACTCGGCATATCTGGGAAAACTTCGTAAAGCGGTCAAAACTGACCAGTTGTATTTCCCTATATAATCTTTGTATTTTATGGGAAAAACAGAGGGTCTTTTCAACGCAGACTTTAGGGTACTTAAGCTCATTATATCTGACTAATTTTTTTGCATGCTCCTAGGTCAATGGATTGACCTTTAGGGAAAACTGTCGGTTACACTCAAAGCCCTCGACGAGGGCTAAAAAGTGACCGCGAGTGAAATTCTCTTTATATGAGCTCTATTACGAAAAAAAATTTCCTCCGACGACCCCCCTTGATATTTTGTGAGGTGGTAGAAGAACACCTAGGGGTGTCACAAAAAACTCGGCATATCTGGGAAAACTTCGTAAAGCGGTCAAAACTGACCAGTTGTATTTCCCTATATAATCTTTGTATTTTATGGGAAAAACAGGGAAATTTTAACACAATTTTTAGGTTACTTAATGTCTGTACATCATGCTAAGTTTTTGCATACACTACTATAGATGACTAGGCCGTATGGAAAAACTGTTGGTCAGACTCAAAGCCCTCGACGAGGGCTAAAAGATGGTCTTGAGTGAAATTCTCATTATATGAGATATATATATATAAATAAATTGACGAACGATCCCCTTAATATTATGTGACGTCGTAGACCGACCCTGGAGGGTAACAAAAAAAACTTTATTCCCGTCGGAAACAGCCATTATAGTCATTAAATATGTTCATATAACGTAATTTCTTATATAAGCAAACAATATAAGTAAACAATGACATACGTCATACGTTCAGTTTTCAAGGGAGGTAACGTTTTTAAAATTATTATTTTTCAAATAATTGTATACTATTTTAAACAGAAACAGAAAATGACGAAGTATAGCATTTGTTTTAGTACAAAATTAAGTTGTTAATTTAGTTAAGTATCCTAATTAAATTAATTAATTAATTTCAAAAGGCAATGTAATATAAACTATGAGATATAATGTTCATGAAACCTGTGTAGTTCTAATTCCATTTTAGTTATACATTGCGTACTTTCCAAATATTCTCTTTTAACTGAATATGAATGACAAACAAAAACATGTTGTTTCTAAAGTTAGCATTACTGTTTAAATTCAACTTATTAAAGCACTCCACACCCAATCCATCGCTAAATAATTAAGTATTCAAATTCTCAAATGTTTTTTAAAAACCTAAGCGAAGCTAGGCAGTATGCCTAGTGTATTATAAAATGGGCAATCTTGATTTAAGTCAACATGACCCCAGTCTTATGTTGAAACAATTAAAACAATAATCTTTATAAATACACTCTAATATACTAAAAGTAATTTTGAAAATGTTTCATGTTTTAAAAATGAATTTGTAATAAAAGCACTTTGTATACAGCAGATAGCTAAATCAAGGCAGACAACAGCGGACTGACTCGGCGTCATAGGCTGTACATTGGTAGGTTTGTCAGAGAAACTGTCCTCAGATAGATTTATGTTAGCATCAAAACATCTGGGTCGCAATGAGATTGAGCCACAGCTTATTTTGAAATACTCTACATTGGCAGACGTGCATTGAGCACACGGAACCCGGCACCGGCCAGACGACAGACCGGCATTGACCACACGGTAGACCGGCATTGACCACACGACAGACCGGCATTGACCACACGGTAGACCGGCATTGACCACACGGTAGACCGGCATTGACCACACGACAGACCGGCATTGACCACACGACAGACCGGCATTGACCACACGACAGACCGGCATTGACCACACGACAGACCGGCATTGACCACACGACAGACCGGCATTGACCACACGGTAGACCGGCATTGACCACACGGCAGACCGGCATTGACCACACGACAGACCGGCATTGACCACATGGTAGACCGGCATTGACCACACGACAGACCGGCATTGACCACACGGCAGACCGGCATTGACCACACGACAGACCGGCATTGACCACACGACAGACCGGCATTGACCACACGGTAGACCGGCATTGACCACACGGCAGACCGGCATTGACCACACGACAGACCGGCATTGACCACACGACAGATCGGCATTGACTAGACGGTAGACCGGCATTTACCACACGACAGACCGGCATTGACCATACGTCAGACCGGCATTGACTAGACGGTAGACCGGCATTTACCACACGACAGACCGGCATTGACCACACGATAAACGGGCACTAACTTCTAAACCAAAGTATCCGACATGACTAAACTAGTACATCAAAACATCTGAAGTTATCTAACACAACATCAACAACAATCTCTTGGTCCCTATCTTGTTATCTCACTTAGAAAACATCTCCGCATCTGACGGTCCAGTCAACGACGCAAAAAACTGAACTTGTTCCTATATCTTTAAACACTTAACTTATCCAAACATACCGATTACAAATCACACATTGAAACGTCGAATATTTGTAGGCAATCGCGGACTACTGAGAAATCGAATTCGTCAAATCACAGTGCTCAGGCAGGGAATTTTTCAATAACACATGAAATGTAAAACACTGCAATACACTCCAGCATAAGCGACCGTCTGCTAAACGTCTGATCAAAAACCAAACAGCTCCCGACAAATCAACAAGCTTACAGTTTAATCCACAACAGGGGCGTGACAAATTGGCTTCGGACGTGACTTGATGCTGTGGTGTATTCGTGTCCGATTTCTTGAGCGTGTCGCATCGTTTGGCCGCCATTGTTGTCGCCATTTTAAGTCACAAACATGGGCAATATGGCAAACAATGAAGTGAGGGGGAGGGGGGAGGTGTTTATGAGAGGTGAGACAGTGAGGTGAGGCTCTATGTAGCACTAACCAAATCATATAGGTAGCTCACCTGCCAGATGGTAGCACTAACCCAATCCTGTAGGTAGCTCACCTGTCAGAAGGTAGCACTAACCTAATCCTGTAGGTAGCCCACCAGAAGGTAGCACTAACCAAATCCTGGAGGTAGCCCACCAGAAGGTAGCACTAACCTAATCCTGTAGGTAGCTCACCTGTCAGAAGGTAGCACTAACCAAATCCTGTAGGTAGCTCACCTGTCAGAAGGTAGCACTAACCAAATCCTGTAGGTAGCTCACCTGTCTGAAGGTAGCACTAACCAAATTCTGTATGTAGCTCACCTGTCAGAAGGTAGCACTAACCAAATCCTGTAGGTAGCTCACCTGTCAGAAGATAGCACTAACCAAATCCTGTAGGTAGCTCACCAGAAGGTAGCACTAACCAAATCCTGTAGGTAGCCCACCAGAAGGTAGCACTAACCAAATCCTGTAGGTAGCTCACCTGTCAGAAGGTAGCACTAACCAAATCCTGTAAGTAGCTCACCTATCAGAAGGTAGCACTAACCAAATCCTGTAGGTAGCCCACCAGAAGGTAGCACTAACCAAATCCTGTAGGTAGCTCACCTGTCAGAAGGTAGCACTAACCAAATCCTGTAGGTAGCCCACCAGAAGGTAGCACTAACCAAATCCTGTAAGTAGCTGACCTATCAGAAGGTAGCACTAACCAAATCCTGTATTTAGCTCATCTGCCAGAAGGTAGCACTAACTAAATCCTGTAGGTAGCTCACCTGTCTGAAGGTAGCACTAACCAAATCCTGTAGGTAGCTCACCGGTCAGAAGGTAGCACTAACCAAATCCTGTAAGTAGCTCACCTATCAGAAGGTAGCACTAACCAAATCCTGTAAGTAGCTCACCTATCAGAAGGTAGCACTAACCAAATCCTGTATTTAGCTCATCTGCCAGAAGGTAGCACTAACCAAATCCTGTAGGTAGCTCACCTGTCTGAAGGTAGCACTAACCAAATCCTGTATTTAGCTCATCTGCCAGAAGGTAGCACTAACCAAATCCTGTAAGTAGCTCACCTATCAGAAGGTAGCACTAACCAAATCCTGTAAGTAGCTCACCTATCAGAAGGTAGCACTAACCAAATCCTGTATTTAGCTCATCTGCCAGAAGGTAGCACTAACCAAATCCTGTAGGTAGCTCACCTGTCTGAAGGTAGCACTAACCAAATCCTGTAGGTAGCCCACCAGAAGGTAGCACTAACCAAATCCTGTAGGTAGCTCACCTGTCAGAAGGTAGCACTAACCAAATCCTATAGGTATCCCACCAGAAGGTAGCACTAACCAAATCCTGGAGGTAGCCCACCAGAAGGTAGCACTAACCAAATCCTGTAGGTAGCTCACCAGAAGGTAGCACTAACCAAATCCTGTAGGTAGCTCACCTGTCAGAAGGTAACACTAACCAAATCCTGTAGGTAGCCCACCTGTCAGAAGATAGCACTAACCAAATCCTGTAGGTAGCCCACCTGTCAGAAGGTAGCACTAACCAAATCCTGTAGGTAGCCCACCAGAAAGTAGCACTAACCAAATCCTGTAGGTAGCCCACCAGAAGGTAACACTAACCAAATCCTGTAGGTAGCCCACCTGTCAGAAGATAGCACTAACCAAATCCTGTAGGTAGCTCACCTGTCAGAAGGTAGCACTAACCAAATCCTGTAGGTAGCTCACCTGTCTGAAGGTAGCACTAACCAAATCCTGTAGGTAGCTCACCAGAAGGTAGCACTAACCAAATCCTGTAGGTAGCTCACCTGTCAGAAGGTAGCACTAACCAAATCCTGTAGGTAGCTCACCTGTCAGAAGGTAGCACTAACCAAATCCTGTAGGTAGCTCACCTGTCAGAAGGTAGCACTAACCAAATCCTCTAGGTAGCTCATCAGAAGGTAGCACTAACCAAATCCTGTAGGTAGCTAACCTGTCAGAAGGTAGCACTAACCAAATCCTGTAGGCAGCTCACCTGTCTGAAGGTAGCACTAACCAAATCCTGTAGGTAGCTCATCAGAAGGTAGCACTAACCAAATCCTGTAGGTAGCTCACCTGTCAGAAGGTAGCACTAACCAAATCCTGTAGGTAGCTAACCTGTCAGAAGGTAGCACTAACCAAATCCTGTAGGTAGCTCACCTGTCAGAAGGTAGCACTAACCAAATCCTGTAGGTAGCCCACCTGTCAGAAGGTAGCACTAACCAAATCCTGTAGGTAGCTAACCTGTCAGAAGGTAGCACTAACCAAATCCTGTAGGTAGCTCACCTGTCTGAAGGTAGCACTAACCAAATCCTGTAGGTAGCTCACCTGTCTGAAGGTAGCACTAATCCTGTATGCAGTTTACCGGTCACCCCTGCCTTATATCCTCCACACCTTGCCCGTAACTGTCCCTTCTGCGACTGGCGCCATCTGCACGTGGAATAGAATACCCCCCCCCCCAGCACATCTGCCACACCCATACCCACCCCCACCCTCCCACTCCCCAATGTACCGACAGTATTAAATCACAGATGACGAACTTGACCAACCACCGATTAGAATAAATATACAACCGGATGTTGCCTGTTAGGGTGTTCACTTGCACTCAGCCTGACGTCATTTGTTCCAACGTACGTTCAGCTTGACGTCATCAGTGTCCACCTGACACCATGATGACGTCAACTATTTGTGTTCATAAAGACAGATACAGTAGAGTTTATCTGTCTGGAAAGTCCCCAGATTCCACCTGGAGATGGCATCACACAGGGGGATGACGAACAGTTTCTCTATGCATTTATGTTCGTAGGAGGACGGTTATCCTCAACACGTAGGTGTTGGGAACTGCAGCTGAAGTCATGTAGTAGGTCATGTAGTAGATCATGTAGTAGGTCATGTAGTAAGTCATGTAGTAGGTCATGTAGTAAGTCATGTAGTAGGTCATGTAGTAGGTCATGTAGTAGGTCATGTAGTAGGTCATGTAGTAGGTCATGTAGTAGGTCATGTAGTAGGTCATGTAGTAGGTCATGTAGTAAGTCATGTAGTAGGTCATGTAGTAGGTCATGTAGAAGGTCATGTAGTAAGTCATGTAGTAGGTCATGTAGAAGGTCATGTAGTAAGTCATGTAGTAGGTCATGTAGAAGGTCATGTAGTAGGTCATGTAGTAGGTCATGTAGAAGGTCATGTAGAAGGTCATGTAGTAGGTCATATAGTAGGTCGTGTAGTAGGTCATGTAGTAGGTCATGTAGTAAGTCATGTAGTAAGTCATGTAGTAGGTCATGTAGTAAGTCATGTAGTAGGTCATGTAGTAGGTCATGTAGTAGGTCATGTAGTAGGTCATGTAGTAGGTCATGTAGTAGGTCGTGTAGTTGGTCAGGTAGTAGGTCATGGAGTAGGTCATTTAGTAGGTCATGTAGTAGGTCGTGTAGTAGGTTGTGTAGTAGGGCATTTAGTAGGTCATGTAGGAGGTCATGTAGTAGGTCATGTAGTAGGTCATGTAGTAGGTCATGTAATGAACCACGACTTGATTGGTTGGACATTGTACCTTATCCCGAGCAGACACGACCAGCCACAGGTGAATGGATCTCTGGACATTTGTACCATCAGGTGCTGGACAGGGTGGTGTGAAATGACAGGATGGAAGAGACTCCACCCCCACCCCACCCCCCACCCCCCCTTCAACCAGATGGGTGGCGTCTCAGGGGAGTAAACCCCTGATCACCCATTGAGCATGGCCTGTTAGCGAAATGTTTATAGAACTTTGTTGTTGTGGTTTTGAGCTTTGAACCCCATGTTTCAGTACCACTAGCAGCAGATATGACCAGGCCAGGTACCCATTAGAGCTGAGTGGAGCTGAGGACATTCATCAGACCTGACTGCCCAACACAAGTCTCCCATGTCTGTCTTGAGTCTCAAGACAAACAAATCAATCGATAATTCGATAAAGAATTTAATAAACATCTATACAACGTCTGTACAGCAACACCATCAACTCAGCAATTAGTGTCAATAAAATATTTATTTAATGTATTATTTACATCTCCCGTAGGCCTGATATTGACATGGATGTGCAAGGTCCAGCAATATAAGCCTAACTTCAAATGTCATAAAGCCTAAAAATGTCATAACACGCCAAACGAAAACAAAAAGTTATGACCTTAAAGCTAACCTCACGTGATTATCTTTCCAGATCAGAGTAGTCTAACTTTACATGATCACAAAGATCATGCCAAATCAGAGTAGTCTAACTTAACATGATCACAAAGATCATGCCAAATCAGATTAGTCTAACTTTGATCACAAAGATCATATCAGATCAAGGCATGTTATTGTTTAGACACATCAGAAAATAAACAAAAAAACTACTTAAAACTTAACGAAAGTATTTTAAAATAACGAAAAACATAAAATAAACAAATCAGAAACAACACTAGCATTGAAATACTGGGCCGAGTTTGTGCCAATATACATCGTCCACTGACCAAAATATCTACACCAGTTACTGTAGTAAGGAAGGGAGCTCACTCGAAACTTTGTCAGAGTTAGCTGTTCTTGAATGAGGGGCTGTACACTATACACAGCAAATATGTTGGCGTTATTCTTCAGATGGAGGTTATTTACAGGTGGGCTGTAGGATTGGTGACACAGGTGGTCTGTAGGATAGGTGACACATCTGGTATGTATGATTGGTGACACATGGTCTGGGGTGACACAGGTGGGCTGTAGGATTGGTGACACAGATGATCTGTAGGATTGGTGACACAGATGGTCTGTAGGACTGGTGACACAGGTGTGCTGTAGGATTGGTGACACAGATGGTCTGTAGGATTGGTGACACAGATGGTCTATAGGACTGGTGACACAGGTGTGCTGTAGGATTGGTGACCCAGATGTGCCAGTGATATTCGCGTGTCCAGACCATCAAGTTGTATCCACATGTGTAGATGACAGGTTGATAATCACTTGTGAGTACAGTGTTGACCTTCCATGTTAAGTTGATAAAGATGACATACCACGTGAAAATGATCAAGTTGATATTGAAGATGGTAAAGTTGATATTCCATGTGAGGATGGTAAAGTTGATATTCACAAAGTTGTATCTCATGCAGTAGTTCAAAGGCAAGTGTACCGACTACAAATGGGTGTTATAGCCCTCTTCTTTCTTGTGTTCCTGGATCACTTTGTCCTCGTGCTTGTTAGTGGAGTGGAGGAGGGCGTGGTTGAGGGGCGGGTACACCAGGACCGGCACGTTGCTGTGGTGGACGATGTAGCCGGACACGCTGCCCAGGACCGTCCGCCGAAGGGCACCATGCCCCCTGCTGCCCACCACAATCAGCTCCACCTTCTCCTTCTCCGCCTCCTTGACCAGGGCGACGCCCGCGTTACTGCCTGCTAGCGTCTCCACGTAACCTTTGGCCTGGAGATGGAGGGGTCACGGTTAAATAAGGAGATGGAAGGGTCACGGTTAAATGAGGTCAAGGACGGGTCACGGTTAAATAAGGTCAACTCAAACTTCTTCTGATTTATAAAGTACTTGTAGAATTTAGAGAACGACAAATAATCAAATCGTCAGCAAACTTTTCATAGAAAATCATCGAAATATAATGGTCATACATGACTAGCAAAATGTAGCAGACGATTGTTATAATATAACAGACGATTGTTATAATATAATGTAGCAGACGATTGTTATAATGTAGCAGACGATTGTTATAATGTAGCTTACGATTCTTATAATGTAGCAGACGATTGTTATAATGTAGCAGACTACTATAATGTAGCAGACGACTATTACATTATTATAATGTAGAAGACTACTACTGTCATGTAGCAGACGACTATTATAGTGTAGTAGACGGACTGTTATAATGTAGCAGACGATTGTTATAGCGTAGCAGACGACTAGTATAATGTAACAGCCGATTGTTATAATGTAGCAGACGATTGCCATGTAGCAGACAACTCACCCCGAGTTTTTCCAGCTTCTCCTCAAGCAGACGACGAACTTCCTTTGCCTTGTCTTGCATCTCAGTCATGTGGTTGTGTAGCGATGTCAAGAAGTTCTCAACTGTAAACAGATCAAAACATCCAACACATCAACAATGAACTAACAAAAAAATGAACTAGCATATCAACAATGAACAAACACATCAACAAAGAAATAACACAACAACAACGAACAAACATATCGACAATTTCAAACAGACACCAAAACCAACATAAGCCACCAACTATAATACTGCTGGTGTGTATTGAGGGTGGGGTGTGGGGAGGTTGTGCTGGTGTGTATCGAGGGTGGGGTGTGGGGAGGTTGTGCTGGTGTGTATCGAGGGTGGGGTGTGGGGAGGTTGTGCTGGTGTGTATCGAGGGTGGGGTGTGGGGAGGTTGTGCTGGTGTGTATCGAGGGTGGGGTGTGAAGAGGTTGGGGCTACAAAATTTAATATTTTTGAACCTGACAAATCAAATCTAAGTTATCTAGTTCTATGTTTGGCGGGTGGATTTTTTATCGGGCTAATTTAAGTGGTTTTACGGTATTACCCTGACTACATGAAACAGATGGGTTATGACGTCATTGACATGCGCACATCCACAGATTGTAGGGCAGACATGACACCGTGAACTGGTGTCTGGTGTAGAGGGAAACTGTATACCATGGTAATTCTCTAATTCTGGCGTTCATTAATGCTAATGAGGGAACGGATTAATGCTAATTGGGGGATGATACATCGAAGCGAGTAGAGCCGCTTATACAGGCTGATGATGTTAGTGAACGTCACAGGCACCCCATGCGGATCATCTCAACGACAGAATCGTTGAGCCTCTCTCCGACTGTGTCGTTGAGAATAAAACCCTTTGGTGGTTTCTCAGTCAACACTGTCGTTGAAAATAAAACAATAATTAAACATGCTCTCCACAATTAGGAAAGCATAAACTGTAGGTGTTTTGAAGCTAATATTCCAGCCATTTTGTTTTGACGAGAGCTAGTCCAGATCTAGACTAGATCTACTTGATCAACGATTTACACTGATGTAAAACCTACGTAAATCTACAAGATCTAGATTTACATTTAGATCTAGAAATCTACATTATTGACTAGAGAGAAAAAGTTAAAAGTATGCCTAGTGCGTGGAAAGTAAATGATAGAATCTAGATCTAGAGATCTAGTAATTTTTCAGTAGCACTAGTCTAGATTGACTAGATAGAATTTAGAAAGATATTATAAAGATAATTATTTCCGTGGCATATCTGTCCTTTAGGATCTATTCAATTTTAAATCTCTTCTATTTCAAATTGTTTGTAGATCAATATCTACAAGCTTAGGCTTAGGTCTAAATAGTAAATAGTAAATAGTCTAAAAATATACCAAAGCTACACATTATTCCTAAACTTAATGCCATTAATTTATTAATGAATGGCTAAAATTCACTGAGCATTGTTGCACTTAAGACTTAAACGTAAGGCCTAAATACTAAATAAAATTATTACGTTAGCTTAATTTTCATGACAGCTTTTCTCTTCTTTTTTGCCATGCTTAATTTAAGTCACTTTCATGTGCTGGTAGCTTAAAATAAAACTTGTTTAGGAAGTTTATTTCTTTCTCCCTTTCGTAATGCTGCAAATATGAGTAAGACGCTTATTATTTTATAATTAAATAGCTGCGATAAATAATCATTCGCATCTTTTTGGGGGTATTTCTTTTCCATGAACTGTGAAGTATGGTATCTCAAATTTTGCGAGTAACTCAAAGCGAAATATTACTCGCTCAACTGCTCGTATTTAAAAAATCTGGTATGTCGAGGCACTAGAATGTTGAGGTACCACAGGATCGACTATGTATTGAAAGAAAACATAAATTAATTATAGAATAATAGGCCAATATAGTAATAAAGTATAGCTTTAGATTTTATTCAGCCTACTAATAAATAATTAAATAGGCCTAAAGTAGTACTAGATATTAGATAAATCACTAGTATTGTGTAGGGTTATTTTTATTAAAAAAAAAAACAGATCACATCTTATACATTAAGGCGGGCTCAATAAAATAAATTTATTTAGGACCTAGGCCTATGTTTTGGAGATCTAAAATTCTAAATGAAAAATAAATTATTAATTAGACCAACAATAGGCATAGTATGCTAAACCTATTTTAGTATTTAAATTTAAGGCTCGGCCATCTACTAAAAATGTTATAACTGTCATAAAATGGCCTACTTTATTATAATTACTAATTAGGCCTAACCTAAGTTAAAACTAGCCTATTTTATTAGTAGAAAAAGTATTAGCCATTAGAGTTAAGATGTTATGGCCTTAGCCTTATGTAAATTAATGTAATCAGTGTTAGATTATGATACCGATCAAGCATTTATTATATAATATCGGAAAGGGGCCTAGCACTCTCTTAGTCATTAGTCTATTAGGTCAAGTAGTTTAGCCTATTTATATATTATATAGGCTGTTATTTAAATTAGGCCAAAGGCTTATTAGGAAAAGGCTTAATAGGCTTTAGTTTTTAATTAGGCAACAAGGCAGAGGCTTAATGTTGCTTATAGATTTAATTTGAAATTATTATGATATACGCTACTCTGCGGCTATCACTTAACTATAGACTACTATAGAGTATATTATAGCCTAGGCCTATCTAAATAAAATAATTCAACTCACTTAGCTTACCATAATTTTTAAAAATGTTTAGTTAAGTATTCAGCTCTCTATGTCAGCTAAGGCCCATAATTGTAATTATCCTACTGTTAGATCTATTAATTATTTAATGATTAGTAGGCCTAATTATCGGAATTAGGTCTGATACATTAAGTCCTATACATTGGTCGTTGAGTAATACTATTGGGCTAGTAATTTTATACAATATCTATACAAGCCTACTTATCGTTAATTTGGGAGTCTTTGCATTGACCTTAGTTTTCAGATGAAGCAGCCTAACTTTTTATCAGATTATACCATAAAATCAAAAGAAGACTTGTAGATCTTTTTAAAACAAGGCATGAAATATTAATTTAAATAATATAAACAAATAGCCTAAATAACAACTACACAAAGTTAAAGTCATAATAACTTTTTATAAAGGTATCTTGAATTTCAACTGGAGGTAGTTTTGATAAATATTAGTATTCTGAACATTAAAATAGGTAGACTTAACATAAATTTGTTCTGAAAACATATTTAGAAATTGGTTTTAAAAAATGAGGTTAGGATTGGGGTGATAACTAGTTGAGGATTAGATATGAAATTCATTGTGTTTATCCATGTTGTAATTTCTCTTTTACAGGTTCACCCAAAAATAAATACTAAATGACACAAGATGTTCTTTCTCTATTACCTCTTACATTTGAAATAAAAGCAGGAAAAGGTATGACAATTATTAATAAGCTGCTTTAAATTTTATAATTTGTTTTTTTATAACTTAATTGTACCATTTTTATTTCCAATGATGATAAATATAATTTAGTGTCATTTATATTTTAAAATATTTATATTATACTTGATATAATTTACTTCTATAATATTACTATCCAGGTCTAACAGTCTATGCCTACAACATAGATCTCCAGGACTAAAAGTGCAAAAAATTGCAATCAGTATATCACAAGTGTAATAACACATGCATCTAATCTGCTTCAGTGGCGAGAACTGGGTGAATCCTCTCAAACATTAATCAGGTAAGTTATCACAAGTTTGCTTTGGTTTATTTTAAACATGTTGATTGAGATAGATTTTTATTTTTATAAATATTGTATTTAAAAAGTATTTTACCTAGTAAAACCAAGTCAGTGGTGATGATTGATACAATATGTATTTTTTTAAATATTTGTTTTGCAAAATATGCTGATTTGCAGGAAGTATATATATATATATATATATATATATATATATATATATATATATATATATATATATATATATATAACATTATCATTTAGTGGTTTGTCTTACAAATTTGAATTATTTACTTAATCTGTCTTAACTGCTCAACAGGAACTAGGCATACCTAATGAGCGTCAAGCTGATACAGTAGATGTACAGAAGAATTTTTACACAAGGTAAATATTGATAAATTTTAAGTTTTCTTTTTTTAAGGTTACATGTAGTGTTTTGGGAGAAAGGAATTAAATTATTTAAATTAGGCCTAATAGTTTATTTCTCTAGCTTATGTTTCTCTTAAAATAACTTAAATTTTTCCCCCTTTATCACTAAAGCAAAATTTTATAGATATCTATGCCATGATTCATCTCATTCAACCACTTTTTTCTTGTTTTGTTTTGATGTATTAAACTAATTTAAACTAAAGATTTTTTTTTTTTTGCTAATTTTATTATTTCAGATGGATGATTAAGAAAATCATTTTGTTTTGTTTCAGGAAGTGAAAAGTGATGTAAAAGGCAACTAATACTTCCATCTACCATAGTTAAACAAGAATCTGCAAATGGTGATAATTGCAATAATCTTGATATATTAATGTTTGGCTTTATAATTATATGCAATTGTCAGGTTTCATAAATAAATTATTTCTCAAAATTTGATGTATTTGGTTTTCTTATTTTGTACATAAGATGCAAGTGATTGAAAGCTGAAAAGGGTAGTATGTAGTTATAGTATTCCCAGCACAAGTTGACATTAAAACAGCTGAAGCCCTTTAAAAAAAAACAAAAAAAAAATAATAATCTAGGAATGCTGTTTCTATTAGCTGAGCACATATTTGGAAAAGAACTTAATTGTTTACCAGAGAATACTGTGACCCAGTTTGTACTCCAGGCAAAAAGTGTCTATGGTTAATATTATTAAGTTAAAGAAAAGTATCAAACAAACAGGATAATATTAATAAGCAAGACCTCCACACTAGAGAAGTATGGAATGAGTGTTGCATGGAATTCAAATCAACTTTGATGTTGCTAATTGCTACACTGGCCATAATTGGTCTACATTGACTTTTGCTGAGGTAGGCAACTGTTTTGTTTAACTTTAGATGTCGACTAAATAAAGAAGAAAACTGACACGCCAATGATCAATCAAGAACTTGTAAATTTCGTGGTTGCTAAACTGAGAAGTCCTGAA